TCAATCAAAAAAAAAAAACTGTGCTTTAGAAGAGTTTTCTGCTTGAATGCTTGAAATGAAGGTTAAGTTTCTTGAAGAAAACTTCAAATTTCTCATTGTATTGTTAAATGAAATGAAATGAATGAAAATATAATAAATATAATAATGAAAATGATTGTTGAAGATCTTTTTGGGTCAGATTAAATGCTTGAGCTTTGCTTTAGAGTATAGAAATCGATAGAAAATATCGATTTACCGTATTTTCTAATAGTAGTCCACCCTGAGCGTCGTCTAAATTGCTCGAAATCTCGAGAACCGATTATCAGAACCTATCGATGTGGGATCGGAAAATGTAGCTGACGATGAGATCTAGTGGGGGATTTGAGTGTTGAGCTTCTGTGAAAACTTGGAAACTGTAAAATAGTCATCAACTCGGCTCAGCGCGGTGCACTACTATTAGAGAAAATACGGTATCTGAGAAAAAGAGCAAAATTTTCTAGTCGCTGGGATCGAACCCGTGACCAGCCGATTAGGATACAAGACTCCTAGGCATTCGGCCATGAGGTACTGATAAAGACAAGGTGTATTGCATATTATTAGGTTGTTCGGATATAAACAAGCGTTGCTAAACTTTTTGTTGTGAGAGAAGCTTTTAAAATATATCTTTCTGTATTTAAAAGTACGTTATTTTGCGCATATTTGGAAACTTTTTAAACGGATAATTTGTGATTTTTAAGATCTTTTTTCTTGCTTTAAATGGCCGACTTCGAATATCAAGTTCGTGTCTGCTTACTTTACTTACGTCTGCTTACTTTACTTTGCTTACGTCTGCTTACTTCAAACTGGGCAAAAAAAAAGTCGCGAAATCCCATCGAGATTTGGTCAAAGCATTTGGGAATGATGTATTTTCCGAAAGCCGATGCCGATTACCACATTCGCCGTATGCTCCCGATTTGGCTCCCTCAGATTACCCATTGATTCCGGTCGATTCAAAACTTTTTGGTCAATGAGAAATTCAAAAACCGTGAAGATGTCCAAAATTCGCCATGTCGGCCTGGCTTGGCGAAAAACTTGGCGGCGATGTCGCCAAGTTTTTCGAATCACAGCCGGCTGAGTTTTTCAAGAGCGGCATCAATTCTTTGCTCAAAAGATGGCAAGAAGCAATCAATAATAATGGTGAATATATTTTGGATTAAACTTTGTTGTTTCTGTTTTTAAGGTAAATTTTGTCGACTATTAAAACGCTCGTTTATATCCGAATAACCTACCGTAAATACTGTAATAGTACCCCACCCCCATGATGACGGTGCGGAGTGTTGCGTAGTCTAGCTTTGAACGAGTTTTTCTCGACACTGATTTATGCTACAATGCTCGTTTAGGTATCAAAAGATAGCCCTGAATTTCAACTATTTTTTGATACCAAAGACGCATTTTTTGAAAGTACGGGTGCTTTGAAAAAAAAATGAAATACTAAAAAACTTTTGCGACTACCCGACTGTACGAGGGGGGTGGGGTACTATTACAGTGTTTACGGTGGGATTTCGACGAATTTAGACGAGGATCAGGGTGCACTACTATTAGAGGGAATACGGTATCTGCCAGCATTTAACTTCTAATATCTATTAAATCGACTTCTTTAACTCTAGTGGGCTTAGGCTTAGGCTAGAATTACAGCCTATTACAGTATTTACGGTAATAGTATTAGGCGGTGTTTCATCGAATGTAATCGAATGTAGTTTACAGGAGCAAGCTACGATTATGCAGAAATTGAGAATTGAATTAAAAATTTGGATAAAAATTGAATAAAAATATGATTCGTATGATTTGTATCTACAATCAAACATAAATCATGAATGAAATGGTGCATTTCTTTATCTTTTCCAGCAGAACACAAGCATTAGGACCTTGTAATTCGAATAGTAAACAAATGAGGGCGAAGCGCCTCCGGAGAAAAAGAAAAAAAATCAAAATCACTTCATCGATTGTACTTTCCTTCCGGAAATTCTGAAAGTATCAAAAAAAAGGAAATGAAATTTAGAAAGTGAAAAGACAGACAGAAAGACAGACTTTAAGCAAATTTTCATTTTCATTCTGTAACACGATTTATTTAGAGCTTTTGTTTGTTTGTAGAAATTGTTGAAATCTAAATTTGTGAACTTTTTTACTCAATTTCTATCATTTTTTTTGTGATAGAAATATTGTTTCTATCATTTCTATCAAAAAAATTCTTCACACTGGCCATTTTTAGCGAGAATGACCGAGTGAACGGCCACCACATTTTGGTGATGGGAAAGAGAGGACTGAAGAATGGAAATCGTTGAGAGGGAAACCTCATTAGTGTGTGGATGTGTGGAGGGGGCGCTTCCCGGCCCCTTGCCCGGGCCCCCCAGGCCTCACTCCTCCCCAAAAATGACGTCATCATCTAGGTCTCTTTTCTCCTTTTATTATTCGATAGTTATTTTTCTCTTTCAACCACTTCATCTTTTACTCTTGTTCTCTTTTTCTATCTTTCTTAGTATCTAGATATTTTTTTTTGACTCTTCTTGAAATTCCTCTAGTATTTTACCTTCACTTTTACTTCCTTTCTTTCTCTAACTATTTAGATGTTTAGTATTACTATTAGATATCTAGATACTTAGATATTTCTACTACTTTTTTTGTTACTTAACCAGAACTGGTCCTACAGGCTGCAGCCTACAAAAGCCTACGACAAAAAAGCAAAAAAACAAAGCGAAGCCAAGCTAAAATTCATGAATAGTTGAAAAAGATAGCTTTTTAAAAAGCTAGACCATGTCAGATTGATGTCAGATGTCAGATAGACCCATTCAAATCAAGTCAAGACTAGGACAATATGGCTTTGCTTGTCTGAAATTTTGTCCCAAGAATAGCCCTGATACTAGCCACTAAATGTTTGGCTATTTACCAATTAGTTGACTGATCTTTTGACAGTCTTTTGTTCTTTATTCTATATATCTCTACAGCATGGCATAAGGCCTTACCCTGGGATACGTGCAGCTCATTGGTCGGTCAGCGAGATATCAATTCGAATCACAGAGATATCAGTTCGAATCACAGCTCTGACCCAGCTCTAAACTCACAAATGGACTTGCCCAACTCTTCTACTTATTTAGAATCTAGTTATTTTTTGGCTCACTCACTTGACTATTTCAAACTACTTCCCCTTTCTACTTCTTCTTCTTAACTCTTTTTTGACTTTTGGTCTCGCTCTGTTCTCATGCACGTAATCCATTGCCCTACTCTGACTTCTTTGAGCTATTTCTTTGTCCACTCGCTTTTCTCCAATCTTGCCACCTCTTCTCCTTGACTCTTTCATCTCTTTCATTCCTTACAAGCCGCTTCATCGTTGTCTTTTCTCTCTCTTCTTTTCTCTTCTTTTCCTTTCAAATCCAGACCCCTATAGGCCTCTAGAATGGTCTTCACTATGGAAGACCCCTCTGTGTGTCTGACACGAATCGCCCAAAATATTGAACCTACTCATAAGCTTTTATAATGCTAACTGCGATTACTAAAAACAATTATGTGAATCAAAGAGGATATTAGTAAAACAATTTACTGTCTTTTTAACAAACAAAAACAATAGATTAACAACAACAATAGAGCAAACTTCTCTCTTCTCTTCTCTTCTCTTTATTTTTAGCCAGAGATATTCCAACACAACAATTTTACGAACAAATTAGTAATATTGGCAAAACAATAGTAAACATTAGTGATATTAGTGATATTAGTGATATTATTGCGAATATTAGTAAAAGAATTTACTAGAGAACAAGAGAAATCTGAGAGTTTTCAAAGAAAGTTCAGATCTGATCTCTGCCGGTTCAAAGACAGCGAACCAGGCCTGGAAGATTTTACCACTGAAACGACCTCCCTTTTACGAAGATTAGCTATAATTTTATAACAAATTTGATTACTACAGCAGTTTTTGGTAACAATAAGAACATACTTCAGCTGTTCTCCTTGTTTGGTTTCCTATTCGGTGCCCTTTGTGACCCCTTGGGGGATGTCCTCTCTCTTCTCTTCTCTTCTCTTCTTTTCTCTTCTTCTCCTTTCCTTTTCCCCTCCAAACCACCGATATATCAATGAGCAATCCAAATCTTGTTTTTCCCAGTGTTCGCTATTACAAAATGTTTCTTTTTAAACGAATTCTTGTAAAGAATTACTCATCGTTTTTTCTAGGTTTCTAAAAATTTTCCCAAATTGAATTCTTGTTTTCATTTTTATTCTATGCTTTCAAATTTCATTTAGTTATTTATTTAGTTATCAACTTTTTGATCAACAAATCATTTTATCAATAAATCGTCTTCTTAAACCACATTCTCGAGCGATGACTAAAAGATTAGTGGATTTTGAAAGAAATTGGTGAGTTGAAAATATTCAATATTCAAATTGAAATTGCTAAAAGCTGTTAAGAACTTATTGATAACAAGTTTTAGGGGGTAGAACAAATGCGATCTTTTTTGCGCACCTGGACATTTGCGCACCTTTTTTGCTGGAAAAGGCCTTAGGAAAGGTCGTAGAGCTTCAAAAATGTTTTCATAGGAGGGAATCGTATGCGTAGATTCAGAATTTTGACAAATCAGACCTCGCTGACACGTCAAATTTGTCGAGATTCGGAATCTACGCATGCGATTCCCTTATATGGAAATATTTTCGAAGCTCTACGGCCTTGCCTAAAGCCTTTTCCAGCAAAAAAAAGGTGCGCAAATGTCCAGGTGCGCAAAAAAAGGTCGCATTTGTCCCACGCCCCAAGTTTTATGCTAATTTTCTATACAAATTTTTCTAATTACTTAACAATTATTTAACAATTACTTAAAAATTACTGGCTTTATGTAAAAAAAAAAAATGTTTTCCCTTCAACCCTACTTTTCTGTACTTTATTGACGATGAGAAAGTTTTTCAAAAATACCAAATTTGATAGAAAAAAAAGCTAAATTATAGGGTTAAAATGTATTAAAATTAGTATAATAAAAATATTTTTAGAAAAAAAAAAGATAATAATCATGGTTGATCGAAACGAGAGAACGCTCACGTTGCTTCATTTAAGGAAAACCTTTTCCGACCATTCAAAGGTTTGAATAAGATTTTTTTGTTATAAAGAAAAATAACTAAAACATTTACTTATTACAAAGAAAAGATTATAGTTTTGAATATAAAGCTTGTTATTTTTTTTTTTTTTAAATAACTTGAAATAGAGATTTGAAAAAGAAAAAACCTTAGGTGAGCCTAAGCGGGACGAAAGAAGTGGACGCGAGTCGTTTATTACCACTTTTCACCAAGGTATACTGTTTAGAAATCGATAACAATATTGAAATATTATCTAAAATCAATATTCAACTAATTTTTCAGGTAATGACAATGTACAGCCCGGTTGAGTTGCGCGGGGAGTTCAAAGAAATGCCCACATTCTCGGCGTGGATGTGCAGCTTGTTGGTGAGAGAAGTGCGAGCAAGAGCTGCTAGTCAAGGTCAGTAAAGTCAGAAAAAGATTCCCTTTGTGGTCATGGTAAACACACCCTTTGTGGTGCTCTTGCAAAAAAACGATTTGGTGAAGAATTGAGTGCGCCAGGAAGTGGCGCACTTCAAAAAACGCGCTCCGTTCCTTTGCCATTGAAAATCTAACTTTGAGCTCAAATTTCTTGGTTTTTGGTTGTTCAATTTCAATATTTTTAATATCATTCGATTTGCAAAGTCTTTCTCTATCGATTGATAGAAAAACTATTTACCGTATTTTCTCTAATAGTAGTGCACCCTGAGCATCGCCTAAATTGGTCGAAATCTCGAGAACCGCTTATCAGAACCTATCGATGTGGGGTCGCAAAATGTAGCCGACGATGAGATCTAGTGGAGGATTAGAGTGTTGAGCTTCTGTGAAAACTTGGAAACTGTAAAATAGTCATCAACTCGGCTCAGCGCGGTGCACTAATATTAGAGAAAATACGGTAAATTCGACAACTCAACAGTGTCAAATCGTTTCAGGAACCGAAGCGGCTGCTGTCGGTATAGCTGAATACCTTGAGCCATCGACTTCGCACAAAGGATGGACGCTTTTGAGCGCGATTCTGTATGCGGTGAACACGTGAGTGAATCAAAATTTAGAGTAAAGCTATTTGATTTAATAGATACCGATAGTTTTGTCCTATAATCTCGATTTTCTGGCTTATTGATTTGCCAAAAAAAAATCGACAATACATACTTGTAGGATTTTAGTGACGACGATGCGATCATTGACGCTGCATGTAAAGCCTCTCTGCCATCAACACTCGTCAAAGCACTCTACCTTTTCTTTGATCTTCCCGAAGCCGATGGGGAAACGCTGGAAGCGCATCAAAAGTTGAACGATTTGGTGACGGAGCTGTTGGAGAGATTGTGCAATTTCAAGTAGGTTTTATATTTATTCTACTAGAATTCTATTAGAAAAGAATATTTGTTCTAAATATTGTCCTTTAGTTATTTATTCTATTAGAATATGCTATGCTTCTATAAGAATATGCTATGTTCTATAAAAATGCTATATTCTATCAGAATATGCTATGCTTCTATTAGAATAAATACGATAATTCGGTTATATCCAAATTTAAGCTCTAGCACCAAATTCTAATCAATAATTTCTGAATTTTAGAAGCGTTGGTGAAGAGTTGGCTAGAAGAGATGATCTCTCACTGCTATTCGCTGGCACTTCGTCAATGGTTCCTCAACAAAATGCACAATGGAGAAGGACGAGTGCTCGAGTGTTGGAGACGCTAGCGGCTAAAGCTTTGTAAGTCTTTAAACTTTAATTGTAAGCCTACAATTGAAGTTTGTAAGCTTACAGCTTCAATTGTAAGCTTACAATTTGTAAATCTCTAGGTATCAAATAAAAGTAGCCAGGCTAGATGATTAAAGTTTTACCTTGTCCTGTAAATTCAAAACTTTAGAACTCCACAATTGGTGAAGTACATCTTGAGCAAAGAATGCATACCGACTTATGTGAACAATATGAGAAATCCAAAGCTGAGCCTGCAGGAAACCGCCGAGATGATCATCTGTTTGCTGTGTATTTTAAAGGTTTGTCAAATCGTGTGCTTTGTGTTCTCGCAAACAGCCTCTTTCTGGTACACAAGATGGCTAGAAAGTGGCTAGAAAGTGTGTCAGAAAGGGTGTTTTCCATATTGCACAAAGAACCCAGAAATTCTAGGACTCAGCCCGTTCATCCTCCTCTCTCACCGATATTTTTCAAAAAGCAAGCGGCTACGAGATTATTAAAGATTTCTTGATCAGGTAAAGATTTATATCTTTGGATTTGCTTTGTTTCTTTGACTAAACAATAGCCAATTTCTTTTATTCAGACACGAATCCGACACGGAACTCGTTCGAAACATTTTACTGATGTTGATCTCGGTGATCACCGCTGGCCCCATTGAGTTGAAGCCACAGCACAATTCGGGCCTTGTCTCGCTCCCAAATTTCACGGTATACAATTATTTATAGTTATAGCTAGCTTTTCTATATAATTTTCAACTTTTTTCAGCTACCAATCCCTATCGGAAACGGGGTCTCCGTGCGAAACACAGCCGCTTTTCGACTCCTCTACGAGATTTTTGTTGAGGTTTGATTTGACATTAGTATAATAGTATTTTTTGTGCAATTTTTATCGTATTAACTTATATTTTGTACAATTTGTATCGCATTGACTGCTTTAATGCTTTAAAATTTTGAATTTAATAATTACAGAGTCTAAACCCGAAAGTGCACGTCTCTGTCATCGACGTTGTTCACTCGATTTACACATGTGATCCGGCGAATTATTTCATCTTGGATCGAGAGTTTCCATTGAGTATTTTTATCGAAAGAATGGCTACAAGATGTGCTGAAGTGCAGGTGCGGTTTATATTTTCTATTCGAAATTAAATCCAATTTTAGTTGAAAATCTTGGAACTCATCGAGCATGTGTGCTTTCAATTGGCTTACATCCCTTGCAAGGAAATGATTTCGGTGAGTGCGTTTGAAAATTAATAAGAAGACTATTAGCTAAGAAGTAGCTAGCTCATCACTAGTGTCATCAAAAACAGCTAACGCACACTGAAAAGTAGTATTGCTACGAGAAAATACTGGCAAGTAGTTTGCCAAGCAGTTTGCCAAGTAGTTTATTAAGTTTATTAGAGTTTATATATTGATATTGACAATAAGTGAGCACTGATTAGATTAGATGTCTTTGTGAAAGAAGACTATTAGCTAAGAAGTAGCTAGCTCATCACTAGTGTCATCAATGCGACTTATTGTTATTGTTATTGTTTATAGATAGAAAATACTATTAATACTCGTTTATATCAATCAATCACGAAAGTTTAGTTTCATATTTGCTTCGACTTTTAATCCAAGTGTTTTCATTTAGGTCTGTGTGCTGATGAAAACCGAGCTTGGCGCCGGCCGGCCGTCAATGTTGATTCACGCCGTGCAAAGTGCTTTCCGGATACTTACTGTCGACTCGTTGTTGAAGGTACTTGAAGATTTTAAACTTGTAGACAAGCTAAGCCAGAGCCTGAAGCCTGGTCAGAAGCCAGGCCCAAGACTCTAGCCTGACCTTGCTTGTCCTATTTTTCCTGAACTTTCTATCTTGTTCTAGCTATCTTTAAACAATTTACTTAAGATCTAATTATCTTAATATCTAGTTGTAGTTGAATCTAATGATAGTACTGTTATTTTGAAGACTATGAAATCAAATCCGATTCTAGGATGCATTCCGAGAAGTTGGCATTCTCGACACGCTCTCTTTTGTCATCAACAATTTATTCGGCGTTCAGAAAAGTTAGTTTTAATGAAAAGTAGCTAAGCACTTAGATAATGAATCTTCAATCTTAAATTTGGATAATTTTCAGATCGAGAACTTACCGATGAGGAGAAAAAGCTGACCCTCTTGGCTACCGATTTGCTAACAGTTGTTGTGAAGGGGAATGTCGAGAATGCAAGTGAGGAATTTCAAGAACAAATGATTGAATAATCTTAAAATCTAGTTAGATAATAGTTTTGCATATAAATCATATTTGCAGAGATGCTTGGCGATTGTCTAGGGCCTAGGGGTCTGCTGGCGCTCGTTTGCGGAGTGACCGGAGAGTGGAGAAGCAGTGCATTACAGCTACTAAAGCAGGTATAAAACTGAATGTATATCTTGCTTGATAGCTTTAAAAGCTAAATTCTTTATAGTAAGAAGTAAAGCAAAAACCAAAAGCTTCATTTCTCTTTCAAAAAGCTACCTTTTATGTTTATGAACTAGAAGAACTTATGTTTATGTAATCAAAACTCTTTCAAATTGGTACTATATCGATTTCTTGTGGAGGTATAATGGTATTGTACCTTAAAATTCTCTTTATATCATCCATTATCTATCTTTCCAGGCTCTCCTCTTGGCCCCATCCGATATCTACTTGGCTGCGATCGTCTCTCAACTCAACAACGCCTCTCCCCAGACCCAGCTCGAGCTAGACGTCGATTTGTTGAAAGTTGGTTTAAATTGATTTATCCATTTATTTATAATACTATCTTTTATCCACTATATATGCAATTCAATCTCCTAGTGTGTCCTTGGAGTTCTGCGTGAAAGCCACAAAGTCCGCGTTCTCTTTCGACGAGTTGGCGGTTATTTGGCCCTAATCTCAATGTTGTTAGGTAAGAAAATTCTATATTATTACAACAATTTACATATCTAATTCGATATTTAATATATTCTTTGTTAATTTTCATATATCTAAAAGTGATTTCAGGTTTGGAAGGGGTTTTCGGAAGTGAGGAATCGGCGAAAGACGCCCAAAGCCAACAGGAGAAATCCGTCTACCTTGACTTCATTCATCTCGTTTTTAAGGTAAGTATTTCAATGTTAAAGCTTATTTACAAATTTAGATATGTTAGATATGTGATTTAGATATCTTTTAGATAGAATTTTTCGTTTATCAATCACAATTTTCCAGGTGCTAACTTTGAGCATGCGCTTTGAGCCGAGCAACGCTCGGTACTTCTTTGTTGAGGTGAAACATTTGCTCTTAAACTTTTAAAGATAAAAATTTTATATATCTATATTGATTATATAGTTATCTAGATAATTATATCTAAAATTTGAGTACTTAAATGCAAATGAGTAGGCAAATTTCTAGGTAAACTGGGAGAGTATCACGACGGTGCTACGTTTAACAGGCACCTTTGCCGGATCGACGATTGTTGAGGTGAGATAAAGATTAGAAAAAGAGATAAGGGCACCGTGAACTGTGCTAATGGATATTTATTATTTATAATTTACTTAGTACATAGTATTACCTAGTACTGATCAGTTTTACTGGATGAAAAGAACTTACTGATCCAGCAGTAACGAACCAGTAGATTACTAAGTTTAGAGCTCATTTTGTACAAATCTAATGTTAAAAAAAGAAACAAACATATCAAAAACATATACTTTAACAAGTTTAAGTCACTTTTTTTTTTTCCAAAATTATTGCTTTTTGCGCTGCGACTTGCCTAGAAACGCCTAAAACGCCTACTGTGAAATGGAGATCGTTTAAATTGAGTTTGTCACAAAATCTCGTTAAACTTTCTTGAAAAAACCAAAACTGAAATGTGATTCTAACATTTTTAATGTCTCGTAGATTCGAAAACTGTTAAATAGTGAAGACTTTATCATCGTTAAACAAGAAAAACTGGGATCTGACTTTTTTTGGTGAAATTTGATGATCGAGTTTTAATAAATCGATTTTTGGAATGTCAAATTTAGTAAACTGTAAAAATCAATTTTATTCCAACTTCTATGCAGTGTTTTCTTAACGTTTCTTTTCATAAATCAATCAAAAGTCTATAAATATTGAACACTTTGTACTACTAGTAATGCCTAGTATGAACATTACTAGATAAAAACTAATACCAGTGCTAACAATAAGTAGCACTGGAACAACATTTACTACCGTAAATACTGTAATAGTACCCCACCCCCCTCGTACAGTCGCGTAGTCGCAAAAGTTTTTTAGTATTTCATTTTTTTTTCAAAGCGTCCGTACTTTCAAAAAATACGTCTTTGGTATCAAAAAATAGCTGAAATTCAGGACTATTTTTTTGATACCTAAACGAGCATTGTAGCATAAACCAGTGTCGAGAAAAACTCGTTTAAAGCTAGACTACGCAACACTCTACACCGTCATTATGGGCGGTGGGGTACTATTACAGTGTTTACGGTATGTACATACAACTTTATATTTTCAAAATTTAGATTGAAAATGATATGTGGAGAATGAATGGAGCTGAACTAAAAGAGGAGATGAATCTGTGCCATTCTGTCTTTCAAATGGATGAGAATATACAACTTGGGTGAGTAAAAGAAATTCTAATCGTTTTTAAAGAGATCTGACTCTAGGATTTACTTTGTGCACAAAATTGCAAAAGCACCCTTTCTGGTGTACTGAATTCTTCTCTTTCAGCTCAATTCCACCAAAAATGCCAGCATCGATTTTCTACTCTTGTTACATCATTCGACTCTTGTTCAACATGGCTCTAGACAACTATGAGAAGTGAGTATCTAGATTTGCTTTGAGTTATTCTATTTAACGATTTTCAGAGTCTCATCGGATGTCTGTTGGTGTACGTCATTATCTCCACCAGATGGTTCTTCATCTCTTGCAGCTGATGATTCATCGATTGTTTCTTGGTCTTCTTCAGTTCTTGTTCATCCTGGTGCTGTTCTCTCCATACTCGCCCTTCTACCCTCCATTCAGGCTCAAGATAAAAAGTTTGTAAACTAGTTTTAATGATTGAACGTTTTCGCAAACTGCAATAGTTTGACCCGAGGGAATGGAATGGCCTTTCCAAATCAAAACTAGCCTATCTGATGCAGTTTTTTTTCCGAATCTGGTTTCAGTTCAGATTTTAATTGCAGAACGCATCAGAAACGCGAGATATTTGGCAAAGAAGTTTTAGCTGTACCCGTAGCTGTAAATGGTTAAGGTCATCTTAATAAAGTCTTTCAACAGTGGTCATAGTGTAATGGATAGTAATACTGTCTACGAAACCTATCAAAAATCTTTTGGCCTGAGTTCGAATCCTTTAGCTGACAAAGCTTGATCTAGTATCATTCCATCGTAAGGCACAGAGAAAACAGTCAATTAGGTTTGTAAAAAATGGTATTCTTCGGTTTTTTTAAAGGTTAGGCTTGTTATCAAACTGACTCTATCAGAATAAAAATGGATTAATCAATCTAGCAGACTGTAGCTATTAGGTTTTCACTTCCAGATGGACAGTTGCTGCTCAATACTACTCCTCACTTCTATTGAAAGCACTACTGAAACCGGAGAGAAATCAACAATTGATGAGTCAGGTGAGAAATGAAGTGAAGTGGATGAAATCGAATTAAATTCAAAATATTGCCTTCACTTTATCCATAATCCAATAATCTAGGTGGAAATGCCTCGTCACCTCCTTGCCGTTGCAGGGAAGCTCTTCCTCAGTGACAACCATCTACTGTTACCTCCATTCTACTATCTCCTCGAGCGACTCAGCTATCAATCAATGCACCCAAGAGAGCTACGGTATGTGTAAAGCTTATAGATGACTTTTGCCTATCCTGGCCTTATCTAGGCTAGTTTTATTGCTGGTTTGGTTTAAACAAAATCCTCCCAGTTTTGCTTCTTAAAATTAGAATTTCAGCCAATTTCTGCGTCTTGATCAACCACTTTGTTGCCGAAATCTTGACCCTGCACAAAATGAAGAAGCGCTGAACCCGAATGAGGGTGGACCGATCCCGTTGACTCGAGTGAAAGCGCTTGTTTCAATGATGACACCCAGATCGGCTCGTCCACAACCATCACCCTCATTCATCGAGTTTGATCAAGCGCTTGAGGTGGGCGGATTTTGAAATAACAGAGTAAAACATTCTGTCAAACTATTTTTTTGCCTATGGTTTACCGTATTTCATTGAATTCATTTTTTTAGGGCTTCGGCTGTCTCTTCATCCCATCACTTTCCCCAACTTTCTCCTCACAGCGAACCGAGCGCGTCTTTCCGCCGATGAATGGATTCACCTTTTCAACGTGAGTGAGAAAATTGAGTAGAGATCAATCTGTCGCCATAGCCAACTGGATAAGAACTCTGTATCTTAGTTGGGAGGTCAAGGGTTCATTTCCGGCGATATATGGGTATTTTTTTCTTCTTTACGTTTAAGGCTGCTTTTGTATTGTTTGTACCACTTTTATTCGTATGAATAAATGTATTTTTAATCTCTTTTCAGCTGGTTGTACGTTGATTGTTGGTCGGACAAGAAAACCGATGCTCATCCGCTTCGATTGTTGACGGTTTCGAGAACGGTCATTTGGAATGATGAGAGGAAAAAGGTAAACTAAAAGAGTTAGCTGATAGATATGCAGAATACAATTCTTTTTGTAATAGCTTAATTCTTCAGCTTGGTGCGAGAAGTGTCGGCTGTTTGTGCCTCCAACTCTCAGCCATGGATCATTCACTGTTGGTGTCCACAGAAGAGACTGAGCCACCTGGAGGAGATATTGAGAAAGATGCAAGATTTCCATCAGAAAAGGTATTTCTCCATCAATGTTACATCTTTTATCACCCGTTCTCTCAGCTCTTCCAAAGCACACTTTCTGGCAAACCCACAATTCCCATTTTTCCAGAAAGCTTTAGTTTTGCTTAGTTTTTTCTGCAGAAGCCAAAAGCATTGTGTTTACTAGAACACAAAGATTATCTGAAATCATTCTTTTTTTCAAAATCACTTTCAGGTTGTTCGAGTGGCGCTCGAGGACGTGCTTCGACCAATGGAATGGGCTCATCTCTGCGTCGTTTTAACGAGATCCGTTCTGAAACCCAGTCAAGTGAGTTTTAACTTACACTTACATCTTCTCTAGCAAGAATACCGGATAACTCAGTGGTTAGCATCTGCCCAGAAAGCAAAAAGGTCGAGGGTTCAATCTCCTCTCCGAAAATCTTTCTTTGTCATTCCTTACTTTAAGATACACTTTTGAACTAGATCCAAGTCATGGTTTAAATGATAATATTTCTGAATATCTTATTCTTATCTTACTTATTATAAGACACAAAGCTAGCTGATATTAGATAAATAATATCTAATAATTTTAGGTAAACGTCTACGCCAATGGCCGTCTCGTCTCCACTCAACGCCTTTCCTACATTGTGCCGAACCCTGGCGGAGCGGCTCCACAGGTTCGAAATTTGATTTTAACATATTTCTTAGATATTTTACTAATTCATTAAAAAGTTATATCAGAAAGCCATTTGCAAATCATTCAAAACAAGATCTCATTTCAGTTAGCCACCACTGCAGCGGTAAACGCTTTCATCGGCACTCCGCCGAATATGCGACGACCGAGTCGATTACGGTAATGCTTTAAATGCAAATCGATTTTGTTGGCTGTTGCCTTAATTGAATTATAAATGCAAATCTAAAAGAGCTGTACGTCTGTCTGTGCACTACTCCTCTCCCATTGAACCTTTTCAAATGACTTATAGTTAGTTTAACTTAGAATTTTATGTAGTTATGAAAAATGTTTTTAAAATTTAAAAAAAATAAAAGTGCCGACACGGGCGGGAGTCGAACCTGGGTCGTGTGGGATAGAGACAAGTGCGCTCGCACTGCGCCATTCACTAGAACATGCACGAGTGGTTAACGCGCGCGTCTCTCAAACGAACGGAAGAGTGATCGCGGGTTCGGCTCCTCTTGCCGCCAATTCAATAAGCTTTTACAGGTTTCGATTAGCATCCACCTATATTATCGAAGAGCCAATCACACCAGAAATCGTGCGCTCCATCTATCAACTCCAACCGCACTATATTGGGAATTTGCAAACGGCCGGCCCTGATGGAGCTCCTTTGATCGGTGATGAAAAGGTAAAAACTGTCAAAATCTGTCAAATTTCAGTAAGATAAAATATATTTAGTCTAATTATACCTTTCTGTAGATTCTAAAATATTATAGCTATCAGAAATTTTGTGTGAAAATATCTATTAATGTTCTGAGCGCATGTCAAAACACTCAGCTTTTAGCGAACTTGCTTCTTTATTAAACATGAGATGACTCCTTTTTTCGAGTTTAATTTACAATTTACATATGTAAATTTCATATATTTATACTTATTTGTAGATTTTTAAAGTTTTTTTTTCTTATATTTTCACTCCAGATTCTCTTCTCGTTGAATGGAGCGGCGATGTCTGAGCTGACGTTAGCGAAAATTCGAGCAATGTATAGCAAAATTGATTCGGAAAGCCTAGCACCGCATGTAAGTGAAAAGAAATGATTAGTTGAATATTTAGTTAAATATCTTTTATAAGGTCATATTCTTTAGCTTGGAATCAGCCCACAAGACAATAGTACTCAATTGCGAGTGATGCAAAATACGGCCTCGCATCTCCCCGGAGCTGGTCGAGCCTTTGGAGCCGTGCTGGCTGGGTTGGTTTTTTTTGGGAAATTCTAAAGAAAAGTCTGGTTACGGTAGAATTTTTGATATTTTACTTGACTTTATACTCTAGCTTGTCCTAAAAGGAGTGTAACCGGTTCTCTGAAACTTTGTAACTCTGAAAGGAATGTAACCGATTCCTTAGTTACCTACTCTAGAAATTTAAAAGCATAACATTCAATAGTAACTTTCATATAGTAACTTTTTTAGTAACTTTATAGTAAATCATAGTAAAGCATGGTAAATCATATAGTAACTTTTTCTTCTAGATATTTGGGAATGCGCTCGTTCACCCCGTGTCCAGTGCCTAGACTTCTTGATTCGATGGGCGGATACGCGCCACTTTTTGGCTTGATTGAGATGGCCGTTGATTCGGAAGGTAAATCAGCATTAAAATTTTGAAAAATCAAACAATTTTGAGCTATCTATTAGTATGTTTTAGCTTGTAAAGACTAGAATCAGCTTAAAACTTAAAGTCAAAAGCTCATGGCTGTTGATCGAACCTAAAAATTTTAGCCAACAGTTCGGGAAAGGTTTTTCATTTGGTAAAATGATAGCTTGTGATCGGATTTTTCCTTAAAATTTGGACAAATTCGAGTAAAAATTGAAGCTTAAATGTTCTCTTGGATGTTAGATATTTGAATTACAATAGTTTTCAGGACTTTACGCATCGCTGAAAGCTTTGGTCTCAGCCACTCGCTCGAATACAACCCTTCACGAGTCGTTGGCTGAAAATCGAGCTTATCAAGTAAATTTCTTTATGATAAACATTATAATATGCAATTTATTTAGACACTAGCCGTTCTGATCGAGGATAAAAGCCGTTTACTGAACAGTCACATTATGCATATGATTTTCACGCTCGTCGGCACACTGGACACATCTAGAGAGGTGAGCTGAAATGGTTTTTGAAAACGTTTAATTATTTTAGGCTGCCTATATCCCGTGTTCGCAAGCTTTCGACGATGTCCTATGTGATTTGGATGTATGGAGAGGAGCCCCAGATGAACTGCACAAAATGTTACAAGAGCACTTCTATGAGCTGATCACAGAGTAGGTTCAGTCAAGCTAAAGCCATGCTCTGCAGGAGTTCGACCTGAGCTTCGTTTCGCTTCAAGCTTAAGTCAAAAGCTAAGCACAAACACTGCGTGAATCTAAATCCATAGTCTTTTATTAGAGTATTTACGGTATTGCCAAATTTCAGCCATCAAGCCAGCAACCTGCAAACGGTTCGCCGTTCTCCACTCCTCCCCCGTCTCCTCTACACTTTCTTTGACTCATCCCATTTACTCCCAACAACGAATGACATCATTTTCAATCTAATCTCGGCCATTATTCAACCACCGTGTGACTCGAGATCGATTCTGAAGATTGGACAAACGATTGCAGCCACGTTGCCGAGCACGTAAGGATTTAAGGATATGATTCACTTATCGTCGCAAATTTCAGCACCGAAGACGGAATGCTTGAGGAGGGTTTACCCTTTCACATCTCAGAGCTGCAGAGTATGGTTATTGGATCGGGATTGCCGCTGGAAAAGGGGAAAAATCCGCCGATTGTTTACCTTGTCTATGTGAGGAATCGAATTCTCAATCTGTTGGCCAACATCCTTGCGCACAGCAGTGTGCAATCGAATCAACAGTCAGTTCATTCATCAGTTTATCAAATTTCATTGTTGAATAGAGTCCCTGGATTCAGGGCATGCTGTAAGCTAGATTAGTTGAGTAAAGAAAGGCCAAAGCCAGGCTTAAGAACTTATTTTGGTCCAGAAGCAGATCCAAATCTGGACCCACGAACTTTTGACATGCCTAGGACAGGCAAGGCAAGAGCCAGACAATCGCCTAGCCTGGTCTGGCCCATTTTTGAATAAGCTCAAAAAAACTAGGTTAAACAGACCACCTGACAAAAACTGTTTCAGCATGTGCGAGCAAATGGTTCGAGTACTCGGCTTTGATTGGTTACTCTCACTTCTCTCGCCGAGAGTCCACTCGGGAACCATTCATCTAGCGCTGCGAATACTGCTGAATCTGTTGGCTCATGAGAATCTCATGAACAAATTTCGGTATGTATATCATAAAGTACTTATTATATCGGAATCAAAATCAAGAGTTGAATCGGTTTTGTTTAGTCGAAGTTGGCTTGATTTTTATGGGACAAGATGACCGTGATTTATAGCAATAACTTTTTCGAAATAGTAACTGGGAAATGTTTAATTTATTTCAAAAGTGATAAGTGTTATATAGAGAATTGTAGCCCTAATTCTTGGCAACATTTATCTGCCAAAAACTTCCCGATTGAACTGATAAAATTCATTTAACAAGCGTTTGAATGAGCCCTAGTTGACATCTCTCCGGCCCTTCGCGGTCACCCTATATATTCAAAGCTGTACTTTGATATCATTTCATCGTCAATCATCATCAAATCTTGTTTTCAGAGAAGGAACGGGTAATGGTGGCTGGTTGAATGATGCGGACAGTGTGGTGAGGAATCGAGCCGCTGTCGTGCTTGGGTTCTCCGTTTCTGCACACGGTGGTTCAGTTGGCTCTCATGTTGACATCAATCCCGAGCTTCAGAATTGCAATGGGTTTGTTTGCTGAGTTTTAAGTCCAAAAGCCACTGCTAGTTTATTGGTGCTTTGATTGAGAATTCAAAGTGGATCTTGTTTTTTAGCTTTGCCGCTCTGGAGCATGTGCTCTCCAGTCACGCTCACCTCCCTCATCCCCATTTTGCTCTCCTCTCTTTACTCGTCGGTCAACCGGTGAAACAACTCCGTTTCTGTGATCACTTCTCGGTGGATCTCGTCTGGACTCACGTTTTTGGACTCTCTCCGAACAGGTTTAACGTTAAAATGATTCTTTAAAGTCTCAGTCTACGGGTAGTCGCAAAGTTTTTTAGTATTTAATTTTTTCAAAGCACCCGTACTTTCAAAAAATGTGTCTTTGGTATCAAAAAATAGCCCTGAATTTCAGCTATTTTTTGATACCTAAACGAGCATTGTAGCATAAATCAGTGTCGAGAAAAACTCGTTTAAAGCTAGACTACGCAACACTCCACACCGTCATTATGGGGGTGGGGTACTATTACAGTGTTTACGATAGGTTAACTTGGCTCTCCCCTAGCTCTGATTTAGCTTATAAGCACTGAGATCTAGCTGGATATACCTGCTCAGAACCAGCCTTCTCCTGGCTCAATTTGGCCCACACCACAAAAACACTGGATTGACGTTGGCTCTCTGACCTAGACCTCTGACCTGCTTTAGAGCTGGCATCTCTTACAGACTCTATTGTATTGTAGCATTGAAGACTCTATTGTATTGTAGCAGAGCGCGCATTTTAGTATAAACCAGTGTCGAGAAAAACTCGTTCAAAGCTAGACTACGCAACACTCCACACCGTCATTATGGGGGTGCGGTACTAATGACAGTGTTTACGATAGCTATTTTTGGCTACTCTAGTCGACGAAATTATATTCGTTTATGGCTTCATAAAAGGATTTTAAAATGAAAAATGAAAACGTTGATTGAAATCTTTTTTTCAGGATTCTCAGGTATCACAAATTGGTCAAATTTTTGGTCAAGTTTAATTGCAAAAATTAGATTGCACTAAAAGAGATCTCACACAATTTTCTCTCTCTTTTTTTGACAAAGATTAGCTTTGCTCTCATGTTTTCTCTCTCACTTTTGCGTTCACTCATCAGTGAAATGCATTTTAGCGTTTGACTTTAATCAGTTTTTCAATATTTTCTCGAAAATTTTCTTTTTAGCTCCGTTTTTGAGGCGTTGAACTCGGCGAATTTCTGCTATGATGCTTTATTGCCGTTGTTGTCGATGATCAGATCGGCGATACATTGTGAGCAAAGATTGGTGAGTATTTTTTGTACCGCATTTTTCGTGTAAATGAATGTTTTTCAAATGTTTTCAAATGTTTTCAAATAAAATTTTACTCATTTTGCAGAAAAGCGATGGCTGGCACATCACCCATCCATCAGCTCTCCTCCAAATTATCGGCTTTTTCTATCAAAATTCGGCTCATTTCTATCAAATGGCTCATTCTGAAGAATTCGTGATTGCTTTATTCAGCACTCTATTCAAGGCTTGAATTAATATAATGTGCTTAAATTTTTCAAATTTAGGAATCATCAAATTCTCGAGGCGATCGAGGTTCTTCCACTCCACCAGAGGCTATTGAAGGTTTAAAATTTAGATTTCGATTTAGATTTAAAATTCTTGAATTTAGCTTTGACTAGTCTTGTGGCAAAACAAGTGATTGATTTGATTCGGAAAATCATTTGCGATGACATGCAAAGCACACCGCCTGGAGCAAGATCGGAACCACTTTTGGATGTTCTCGTTGAGGTTTCGAAACTTTACTTTGAATACCTTAGAAATGAGCGAAAGATTGCATTAAAGACGGTCATTTTGAGCAAACAGTCGCTTAGTCGTTACTGTTTTACTGATAATTTCGTGTAAATTCAAAGATAAACTAAACTATTATGATCAGCTGAAGCTTTTGATCAGCTGAAGCTTTTGATCAGCTGAAGCTTTTGATCAGTTGAAGGGCTTCAGCTGATCTTCAGCCGGCTTTGGTAACACATTCGCGGTATTTTGAACGTAAAGTCCGGTAGTCGTTAACTGTTTTACTGATAATTTCGCGTAAATTCAAAGATAAACTAAACTATTATAGCCATTCGATAGCCCTGAATCTCCTCTTGAAAACTAGTACAAAGTTATTGAGAACTTTCTACAAAATGAATAATAAAATCCTTAAAAACTTGACACCAAAAATAATTGATATTAGTACGGTCCACTAATTGCAACTTTTGCTAAAATGAAAGCCAAAGTATTCAGATAGAGACAAAGGTGTTTCTAGGCTGAAATTTTTAGGCAAACAAGCCAGTACTGATAAAATGTTAACAAGACTGAGATTTTAGTTTTAATTGATGCAATTCAACTTTATTTCAGCACGTTTGCGAGGGTGGCGGTGGCGCAAGAGGTCATGCCCTTTCTGTTGTCGTTCTCGCTGTTCTCGATCATTTTGTCTCCACCGATCTCCTCGTTTCCTCAAGTTTACCGCCACAGGTTTTGTATTTTGAAATAAAAATATCTAATGATGAATATAAAACGGAATTGTCTACTAGGATTTTCCAACCAATCAAGCCCTAGCTTCTGGCAAAGCTAGGTCTAAACTCATTGTTAGCCTTTACTTATTACTATCCAGAAAATCTTTCCATTCCTTTTTGTACTTCTGTTTAAAAGCAATAAATGCATCAATTGAACTACGGTTTATTTCATTAGAAAGGCTAATTATTTTTCTGCAAAAATAATAGTAAAACGGGTTTAAAATGTCTTATATCTGGATTTTTTTGTCAGAAGACGACTCGATGATCCTGTTTAGACATACTTTAGCTAAAGAAACCTATCTTCGTGTCAATAGATAAAAGATAGAGCACAAAAAGTTACGTATATAGCCAAATTTTCAGAGAAATTCATTCAGCTGATTTCTTCGTAGAGCTTTTTTATACATAAATTCTACGAAAAACACGTTTTCATTCTCGAATTTGCGCTTGAAAGTGAATCGAATTTGACTTAAAAAGATGGGAAATTGAACTTTAAACACTTTTTTGAACAAAATGGAACTCTTTTTATTTAGAGGAAACCATAGGTTAAAGTTATGAATTTGTTATTTTTGTTATTAAAGTGTGAAAAGGAACGAAAAAACTTTCTGGACAGGATAATATTTAGGATTTTTCGAACTTAATCTAATTCTAAATGGATAAAATACAGATTTTATTTTTTTATTGTTTCTATTTCCAGATCTCTTGCAATCCATTGAATCAACAAGGCTCAAACATGTTCAACTTTGCCACGAAGACTGTTGAAGCGCTATGGAATGGGAATCTCCCGTCGGCTGAACCGATCAGGTAGACTTAAGTTTAACCTAAGCACAATCAGTCTGGCAAATTAATCTATTTATTGATAATTTCTGGTTCAATTATCTATTAACTTTAGAAAGTATAAGCAAAAGATAAGCAAATGATTGTTCAGAATTCTCACCGCTCTTTACCATATGCACTCGATTGGCACAAGGAAAGACAACAGTGCGATGCAGGTTGGTTGAATCATGTCCAGGGTATATGAATATTGATCCTGCAAACCAAGGTCAAGATTTTGCTCGCCTAAATTCCTCGAAATCTCGAGAACCGATTATCAGAACCTATCGATGTGGGATCGGAAAATGTAGCTGACGATGAGATCTAGTGGGGGATTAGAGTGTTGAGCTTCTGCAAAAGCTTGGAAACCGTAAAATCGTCGCCAACTCGGCTCAGCGCGGTGCACTACTATTAGAGAAAATAGGTAGATCAATTTGTTGAGATCAATTTATTCAGGTGGATCCTCTTCTAATGGCCATCATGCGATGTGTTCTCTACATCTTGAGTCGCCCGATTGACAGTGTCAACACTCAACTCGCTGTCCTTGACACTTTAGGATCGGTGGTGAACAAGAAGTGGGTCTTGTTTCTTTTTAGCTTTAGAGTTTTTATTTCAAAGCCGATTCTGAGCTGAATCTACTCATTTCTAGATACATCTTCTTGTCTTCAAACGAGAGTTGGTTCTTCGGTGCTTTGTGTCATTTGATCTTCATGCTCTCGGTGACGCCGGACATCCTCGAGCATGGGAATACACCGTTGGATCGAAACTCGGCACAGGTCAGATTAGTATTTCAATTTTTGATGAGTCTATTAGATTCTTATTAGATTAGGTTAGGTTAGATTAGGTTAGATTAGGTTAGATTAGGTTAGATTAGGTTAGGTTAGGTTAGGTTAGATTAGATTAGATTAGATTAGATTAGATTAGACTAAATTAGATTAGATTAGTTTAGTTTAGCTTGGATTAGATTAGATTAGTTTAGTTTAGATTATATTAGATTAGACTAGATTAGATAGATTAACTTTCATAGTAAATGTCTAATAGCTTGTCAAATTTTATTTGACTAACATTTTCACAAATTTCTCTTTCAGGTAGCTGTGTGTGCGTCACGAATCTGGACTGATGTTCTCATTCAAAAGAAAGGCTTTCTCGAGGAGATTTTCAGACGCCAAACCGGTACAATTTTCTACGGTATCTTTTTGTTTGTTGTGTTGTAAAATTAGTAAATTTCAAAGAAATTCGAATAGTCTAACTGACTGGCTTAGTAAATGCGCACACTTTGGCACACTAACTTTTAGATTGACCACAAATTTATTGAATAATTGTGCCAGAAAATGTATGCGTTCAGTTGAGCACAAAGTACATTTGAAAAAACAAGTATAATAAAGCTCATCATGCACAATCGACTCCTCTCCTAAAATGCATGAGTTACTAGTTTTGTTTTGTTGAAGCTAAAAATTCAATTAATAAAGAAAACTTCTAAATTCAGTGGTGGAGCTGAACGCTGCCAGAGCTCTGCTGGCTCACGCAGCCGGTGTCCATTGGTCACAATTCGTCGACTCGCAACTGAAAACCGTCAGTCAAACATCGGCTAAAGAACAATTCCAGCAACAGATCAGCTCGGTGAGTTGAAATTTTGCTGAAATTCTATTTCTACGAAGTTGTGAAACGATTTGTAATTGATAGCGAGCCTAAGCCAGATTCAAAAAGCAATTTCTCTAAAACAGGCAACACCCAGTGCCCGCCTGACTTGATTCTGGCTTTACTTCAGTTCTGGCATCCAAGTAATCACAAAGCCAACGCTGGTACTCAGCTAAGATCGTTTTGAGTCAATTGGCTTGGCTTCTAGCCTTGCTTGACCCACAAATAATCCTCCGGGTTTCCCAGACAAGACAACAATTTCCTGATAGATAAATGTCAATGTTTTCTTTAGCTTTCAAATTGTTTTGAACTTTTTTTGTTTCAGAGAATCACGAAAGTCGCCTCGGGTCTTCATCGATTGGCGAGTAAACGAGGGGTGACATCAGTCGGAAGTCTTCAATCGATGGTACCATGGAAGAATCATGATATCAGTGAAGAGGTTAGTTAGAAATAGATTTAATATCTCAAACTATATCAACACGATCTAAATATTTACAGAAATCACGCATTTCTTTCAGCATTAACAGAAATCACGCATTTCTTTCAGGTGGTTCTTATGTGGGTCCGTGTTCACACATCGCTTGTCAAAGAACTGGTGACAGCGCAAGCGGCTCGTTATCACGAATGGCATTCACATGTACGCAAATGGAGTCTACAAGAATGGCATCAAATCGAACAGGAATTGATTCGAGAGAGGGGATTATGGGGACCGGAACAGGTGAAGAAGCTATAGCACTTTGTGCTCAACAACCTTTCTAGTGCAAGCAACGAAACTTTTTAATGAATCAAAGTTTAGGCTTCAACCCTGGAAAAGTATCAACTCGACGTGACCGAGGGACCGAGTCGAATGCGCCGAAAGATGATTCCAAATCGCGAATTTTATCACATGTACCCGTTCAGACCACACTTGGAAAGTCCGAATGCTGTAAGTTTTCAAAATTTTAGACTCGTTTTATCTATTTAGTAGCTGTTTTTCATCAACCTTTCACATTTTAAATCTTTAAATCCAGCAAAACTTCATATAATAGTAATACTGGATTTTAGAAAGCTTTGCGAGCAAAAGTGGCCATTTCAAAAGATGCGACTCTATATTATGAAGCGATGAAGAGTCGAAGAGGGAGATTGATGGACGCACGAATTATTGATGATTCCCTCTCGTCGATAACTCCATCACAAGAGACTTTACCATTTCCTGACGGAATTCAGGATCTTGATCGTTTGTTTTTGATTCAATTTCTATTCTTTTTCTATTCTTTGGTCTTAAGATTGTAGTGATATGTGTGATATGATTGACTAATAGCACGAATCTACTTTGGACTGAAATGACTTCATTTCAGAGTTGAATAGCTCACTGATTCGTCGACTTTCCTCAAGACCTCCCCATTTGAATGACACTGAAGCAAAATCTGAATCAAATGGCGAAAAGGAAGAAACAGAGGCTGATGCAGAGGAAAAGGAAGTGAGTGAGGAAATTCAAATGCTAGGGAACTGACTGATTTACAAGTAAAGTTTAAGTTTGATTCATAAAACTAAGGCCAATGTTTACTACTTATGAAATAGTCAGGTACCTAAATGAATTTTTAGATTAATGACGAAGAACTGCCGGAAGATCCCGCTCAATCGACATCTTCAGTCAACGCTGAGAAAAAAGCGGAGACAAGAAAGGAGCAAGAAGAGGAAAGAAATCAGAGAAGAGGACCAGACAATCAAACATTGTTGAGACTATTGGAACAAGGAGAGAATCTCCACAGCATGTTTAGATGTGCAAGGGTGCAGGTGAGTGCAACTGGTGAATTACAGTGGACAGTTAATACCCAAATGTCATTGATCATTAGGAAAAGGCATAATCAGATAGGCATTTTTCAGAATGAAAAGTCAGTCAAATTCTACAGGATTCTATGACTAAACTCAGGATTTTTCCAAGTCTATTTGCTAGCCATAGGTTGGCTTGTATTTTGGCCTTGCTTGACTTTACTGCGGACCTGCCCTATCCTTGGTTCTGCTAGAAGTCAGGCTTTAACCTGCCGATCTAAACCTGACCTGGTTTAGAGCCTGCAGTAGTATTGGGTGGTGTGCAGTACTAACAAGGGTAGGTCAACTGGCTGAGCCGGCCAAAAACTAAACCAGGTTTAAGTCTTAGGCCTTAGAATCAGATTGAAACATTCCTAAGTAAATCTAAGCCTTTCTAATTTAGTTTACGACAAATTAAACCAAAGCAAATGTTTGTTAGACACTTACAATAACCTTATTGTTTGTTTTTTTTTGAAAAGATCTATCTCTTAGGGTCTGGAAACGAGTGAAGGATTGCTTCTCTTCGGAAAAGATCACTACTACGTTGTTGATGGATTCACATTGTTGAAAACGAGAGAGATTCGGGATCTTGACTTTTTACCACCTGAGCTTCATGATCCAATTGTTCCCTACACAGCTACTGGAGCCACTCGGCCACCCCGAGCCTCAAGACTGTGCAGTAAATTCAGCTACGATGATATTCGAGAGGTGCACAAGAGAAGGTAAAGTTGAATTTACGTACTTTTGAAATTGTAAACGCTTTCTATCTGATGCACAAAACGTACATCTTTTAGATATCTTCTTCAACCGATCGCTTTGGAAGTGTTCAGTGCTGATGGGCGAAATTATTTGTTGGCTTTCCCGAAAAAGATGAGAGATCGCGTTTTTGATAAGTGAGCTTTGAAATGGCAACTTTTCTACTACTAAAGTCTACTATACTATCATATACTACTAAATTCTGTAAACTGTTTTACATTCAAACTTTCATTTAGACTTCTCTCGATGGCGCGCAGGTTGAACGAGAGCGGCACAGAGAGTGTAAGTGGACAGAAAGCGTCGATGGCTGTTGAGACAATGGGAAGACCGTTGTCATTGTTGAATTCTCTTGTCGGCCAACAATCCGTCACACAACGATGGCTGAATGGACAAATCACGAACTTTCAATATCTCATGCATTTGAACACCCTGGCTGGCAGGTTTGCTCATTGAATTTCTGGCTAGCTTCAGTCTTTTTTACCGTCAATTATCTAGCCGAAAAACCCCGCCTAACAGCGGGTTTTTCTAGCTGAATGTTTTTGTGGTTGACTCTTTATCGCCATGGCGCAGTCGAGAGTGCGCTTCTCTACGGCCCACAAGTTCCGGGTTTGACTCTCGGCTGTGTCGTGACTTTTGCTTTTGCTTGTCATTTAGGCTTTATGATGTATTCTTTCAACTTTGCAGATCGTACAACGACCTCTCCCAATATCCGGTCTTCCCGTGGGTTCTCAACGATTACACTTCGAAAACGCTGGATCTCACAAATCCGAATTCTTTCCGAGATCTCAGCAAATCGATGGGCGCACAGAATGACGACCGATTAGAGCAATTCTTGAAGAGGTGAGCATTGAAAACTGCAGTTTTAACATGAGAATTTAAAGTAATTTACACATCAAGAAGTTTCAAAGCTGATCAAACTGATTTAGATATCGAGAATGGGATGACCCAACCGGCGAGACTCCACCGTATATGTATGGAACGCACTACTCATCAGCAATGATCGTCGTCTCCTACCTCGTTCGACTCGAGCCGTTCACTCAACAGTTCTTGACTCTACAGGTAAAGGAAAGAAATGAATTTGGCAAAAGCTTGGATCCGTGGGGAACTGAGCCCTCAACCTTTCGCCTCGACCATTGATGTGATGCTCTACCACTGAGCCATCGGCGCCTTCTTTGACCAAGAAGAAATAAGAAACACAAGGAAAAAAGAGAGAGAAATCCCGGGTCTTCAGAACAGTGGGCTTGAAAATCAGATCATGGAAATGAGTAATAAAATAAAGAAATGAGTTTGGCAAAGAATTTGGAACCAACGGTTTTCACACGTTCTCCGGAATTTACTTACAAACCCCATAAAGTTTCGAAAATATAAACCTTGCCTTTTTGGAGCACTTAAATGTTTTACAATCTAACAAAACGCAAATAACGCTGCAACAGCAACAAGCCGTTTTACAGCATATCTTGTACTTTATGTGCCAAATTCACCAATTGTACTTTTCAGGGTGGTCACTTTGATCTCGCCGACCGGATGTTTCACTCAGTTGGCGACGCTTTTCTCAGCGCCGCCAAGAATAATATGGCCGATGTGAAAGAGTTGATACCTGAGTTCTATCTCCTTCCTGAGCTTTTCCAGGTGAGATTTGAAAAAGAACTCGTTTAAAGAGGTTTAAACTAAATAATAAAACAAAGTATTTGTGCAAAGGCTAAGAGCAAAAACGAAAAAGCTGAATGGAGAAGAAGTCAGTCATCTTCTTGTTCTCATCTTTACCCATCTCACTTTGCCTTTGAGACAATGATACTCACAAGGGAATGATCCAAAATGGGATTGACGTTCAGGATAAGCTGCAAACCCCAGTCGGATATAAGCATTTCAAATATCTATTCAATTTTTGTCTAAATGAAAATCCTGGCGAGAAAAATGCATTTGAAGTTTCAACCATTTTCGAAAAATTGCCCCCTATAAGAGCACGCCATACGCCGTGGCCAAAAAGAACAACGGTGGCCTAGAGGATAGTGCCCCGGAATACCAAACCCCCAACCTTTTTTTGCGGTGGGTTCGAGTCCCGCCACCGATAAACCTTTTGTTTTTTGAGAAACAAATAGACAAATCCCACTTTTAAGTCTATTACAATGCTTATCGACACTAGGAAAAATTATTAATCTGTCAAAAAGCTCTTTGAAAAGATTCCTTTGGCGATATGATCAGCTATTTATGTGATTCAGATAATAGTTGTAAAAGCTCAGTTCTACACACTCCCGAACTGTTTCAAATAGAATTGGATATTCAAAATGTTAATATATTAATTAGTACTACAAACAGCAGTACTGTATATCAAATTACTAAAGAATGCAGCAAAGTAGCGAGATTTTTTGTCAAGCTTTGGTTGACTAAAAGATTGAAGAGACAAATATTCTTAACAAACAGCAGAAAACATATACCGTATTCTCTCTAATAGAGGTGCACTCTTTAATAGTAGTGCACTCTCTAATAGTATTGCGGTTCAGGAGTGGGTTGAAAAAATAGTAGTGCGCACTACTATTAGAGAGAATATGGTACTTTATAGTTTAAATATTTTGAAAGTTTATGGTAAACTGGATTTTCTGATTATTTTGTGCTTTTTTTTGTATAATAATAGTTTTAAGTGAAATAATCTTAGAACAAGAATCGATTTGATCTTGGAGTGAAGCAAAGTGGTGTTGCTCTGGACGATGTCGTGCTTCCTCCGTGGGCAAATGGGGATCCTCGAGAATTTGTGAGGTAAAAAGTCTTTGTCTTTTCTAAATTCTAGAAATCTTTTATCCGAATTTTACCTTATCTAAACTTTTACTATATACAAATTCTTAGATTACATCGTGCGGCTCTTGAATGTGATCTCGTTTCTGCGCATCTCCACGAGTGGATCGATCTCGTCTTTGGCTACAAGCAACAAGGCGAATCAGCTATTCAGGTTTGATTTTTTTTGATATTTCTATTTAAGTATCAACTTTTGATGAATAAAATGATAAAATTTTATTGATCTAATCAATAAAATGATAAAATTTTGAAGCAAAACCAAAAAGCAAAACCATTCTACTAGATATTTACAAGTAAATCTAGAAAATTCGACAAAAACAAAACACTTATTATTAGCAATAAAGAAAGTTTTACTTAGAAGAGTAATTTAAGGAAAACTTTAGGGGAACTAGTTAAAGTTAAATCTTCAAGTTAAATCTTCAAGTTAATTCTTCAAGTTAAATCTTCACGTTAAATCTTCAAGTTAAATCTTCAAGTTAAATCTTCAAGTTAAATCAATTATTTCCAGGCCAACAACGTTTTTCATCATCTTTTCTATGAAGAAAGCGTCGACTTTGAGGCGATTGATGATCAATTAACAAGAAATGCAACCATTGGCTTTGTCAATAATTTTGGTCAAATCCCCACGCAACTCTTCAAGAAACCACATCCACAAAAGAAGGTTTATATTGGAAAAATTTTTTAGGCACAAAGTTTGAGAAACTAGAACGATAATCGTAAAGTTTATACTCCTTGTTCTCTAGGGTTTATTTCAAACGCACCTCTTTTCTCGTTCACTTAAACATCTTTTTTAATCTTTCATAAAAGATTAAATATTAAAAGAAAGCAGATGAAATGAAAGCTTATGGTTAGCTGACAAGTATGGTTAGCTTTTGAATGATGGCTTTGAATGGTTAATTTTGAAAAATAACGATCAAATCTGTATCGAATTTAGTTTTGTGTTCTGTAGAACAAGAATCCCCTAACCTTACAATTTAGAAAAGCAAATAGATTTAATAAGATTCATTTTTTAATCTAATCATCTAATCAATTCACAAGTTTCAGGTGAATTCATCTGAAGGCTATTCGAGTATCAACGGAGTGACCACACCGAAACTTTTCTATCATGCACTCCATTCTCTCAAACCACCGCAAGTCGCTGTCAAAGGTTAACAGTTAAATTTTGTAGTTGAAATGATTTAACATTATTAGTTAAAGGAGTTGAAAACAAAATTTTAGAGCTTCGAACAGCTGTTGGAGCGATGCACGTCTCTGAGAAAGGAATCGTCGCGGTTGAGGCTGGGAAAGTGTTACTCTCACCGACAAAATATCTTGCCTGGGGTTTCCCGGATCGATCGATTCGTTTGGGAACAGTTGATTCAGATAAGGTAATATCCTTTTCGAATTATAATCTTTATCTAAAAATATCGTAAGCCAAAGAAATTCTGTGATGATTAAAAGAAGATGAATATCTTGTGCCCAAAGGTTTTCGGGGTTGAGGAATCGATTGGCGATATTTATTTTATTATATCTTTCACCTCTAATTTGCGATCCTGAAGTCCTTAAGTCTCTTTGCTTGTTAAAAAGTTCTCCTTTAGAGGACTAGAGCCTTTTCAATAAAAAGCTCTCCTTTAGAGGACTAGAGCCTTTTCAATAAAACGAAAAACTTTAGTCCTCTTGTATCCTCGAGATGTGCGATACTCAGGAGTTGACTTGTGTGGCAGCTGGTGATGAAAGAACTGTCTTTTGTGGATCATCGACAGGTTGAAGATTTCATTTTAAACAAAAAATAAAATAAATCTCAGGTTGTGTAAGCGTATGGAATTTGTACAAAAAACACCCAAGAATGCGAAAAATTCGAACACTCGATGGGCACTCGGATGCGGTGACATGCATTGTAAGTTGAATGGAAAATCTTTTCTAAAATGTGTCAACTTTTGGAAAGCTATCTTGCCTTAGACTTGCTTTAGAGTCTTGTTTATCAGATCTTAAGCAAATTATTGAAGTAAGATGGGCTTGGAAAAGTCTAAAGAAAACGTGAAAACCACTTTTTTTTTTTGCTCAAAATGGCTCTATATTAATCCGTTCACTAGGAGACTTTTTTTATAGTTGAAATTTAAAATCACTTGATTTTTAATATATTTCTATATGTTTTTCATTTAGGAAGTCTGCTCGGCGCACACATTTGTCGTCTCAGCCTCTCGTGATTGCTCGGTAATCGTTTGGCATGAAAGAGAGCTCTCACTCCTTCGCCAACTCCCACCCCATCCATCACCCGTTTCTGCGTTGGCTGTCAATCATACAACGGTTTAGATTCTTATTGTTATCTAATTCCTGAAAACTCTTTTTAGGGAGACATTGCATCAGCTTGCGCTTCATTGTTGTTCCTTTGGTCAATCAATGGCGATCTCTTGGTGCAGATCAATACGTCAGACTGTGCGCCGGCTCTCGATCACAATCAGATGATTGTCACGTTGGCGTTTAGCACGGTAAAGTGCTGAAATTAGCAGTGAATAGATTAGGATTCATATTTCAATATAGAATTGCTATTTCAGATTTGACTGTTAGCAATTTATCTAACAAAATAGAAAACAAGGAGAAAACAGAGAAAGAAAATAATTGAAAATTAGCAGACTGATGACTATGCTTTGCTTCAGTTAACGCGTACAAAAGACGCGAGAGTTAGTGCAAAATAGAAAACAGTTTGTGGGATCTCTTCCCAGCAAGAAAAAAGCTTAGACCAAGTCCAGGACTGGACCAGTTTCAGAACCAATTTAGAGTTACGAACCTTAGATCTGATTGGTCTAGAGCCTTGGATCCGTAGAACAATTAAAACCATTTCCAGTTGAACGAATGGGATCCGGACAATGTGGTTATGGCGGGAACAGCCGATGGAGTGGTGAAGATCTTCTCGTCGGCGATTGTTGAGAACGATGGCTCAGTGGCACCACCACAACAAAGTTTCAACACATTGGAAAGGTCGGTTGAGAATTTGACATCTAAAAAGTTAGGCTTCTGACCTTGATCCTTTCCTTAGACTAATTCCTTCAAACCGAATTTCTTGAACATAACTTGATCAGTTTTTTAAAACGTTTTCAGAAAGAAATCAACAAGCTCTGCGGTTTCTGTAGCTGAACGATTAGAGCGTCAAAGGCGACGCTTGAGAGTTGGAGCGAGTGTTGAGACAACGAGCAGCAGTCATGGAACGGAAGGTGGGCAAACTTTATCAACATCTTTAGCTTTTCTGTCAAGATCTTAGCTTCTTATCCTCTTATCCTCTTCTTCTTCTTCTTCTTCTTCTTATCCTTGAGGCTAACCTTTAAGTGCATGTTGATAACGGTAGAAAAGTGTGGGCTTCTCAAATAATGTCATATAAAACTTTAGATAATCGTTTAGATAGTCACAGCCCGGATCCACCAACGAGCCCCTTCATTGGCGCTGATAATATGGATGGAGAGTTGGAAGAGGGCAGGTCAGCAACACTTTATACACAAGAATCTTTAGCATATCAAGTACTAATAGAAAGGATGTTATTCACTGTTTTCAGGATACCAAATATACTGTACTTTATTCTTAAATATCATTTCATTTCAGAAAAGATCCAAGAATGATCGAATCGGCTCCATGGGTGAGAGTTCTTGTGCAACGAGCTGCTCTCACAATGCACACCGCTTTCTCTAGACCAGACAATTTAAGGCCAGCTCCAATTACCGTCATTATACCATCAAAGTGAGTTTGATAAAAGAAATTCTAGAAAAAATTTTTCCTTTTTGTAGAGATCATCGCTCACTTCTCGTTGGCGATGGTGTGGGCCGTGTGTGGCAATGGCAAATCGGTGAAGAGGGAACCGGAAATCGTGCCGATCATTGGGTCCAAGATGTGGCGAGACAACGCTGCACGCATTGTCATCACAAGTTCTCGATCGCCGACCGGAAACACCATTGCCGAAATTGTGGCCAGATATTTTGTGCAAAGTGAGTGTGGTGTTCAGTAAGAAAGTAAAAGAGGTTCGAAGCGAGGGGAATAGAACCCTTAATCTTCTGCCTGATGTGATGCTCTACCACTGAGCTATGGGCACCTTCTTTACCCAAAAAGCAATAAGAAAGACAAGGAAGAGAAAGAAGAACCTTCAAGTCACGCTTTAAAGCTACCGTAACCCTGACCAAGTCGTACAGTAGTCTCTAGACTTATGAAGATCAAAGAGATTTAGGTCGGAGTTAGAGTTATGTTTGATGAAGCATGCCTTACTATTAGATTACGGTACCTATGCTGTCATGCTTTAGAGAGCTGGGTTACGGTAGGCCATTCTTTAGATCAAATTGAGTCACAGTTACGCTAGCGCTAGAGCTTTAAAGAGTCAAATCGTCTAGAGAAGTTTGTAAGTCACAAATCACTCACTCTTCTTTCAGATGTAGCCGTTTTGAGTCCCACATCACCCACATGAAGATCTCTCGTCCTGTTCGTGTCTGCCAAAATTGCTATCTTCGTTTGAAAGCTCAAACGCCATCATAAACCAAAAAATATTATTTGTAAAATTTGTTCTTTTCATTCCTCTTCAAGCTTTAACAACGCAAAATTTGCATAACTTTTAGTGATCTAACATTATTCTTTGATATTTTGACATTCCGTGTAATGGGCTTATGCAAAGATTTTAAAATGTTTAAAAAATTTTGAAAGAAAAACGTTCGAGACCGCGATCGAACCCTTCACCTGTCGAGCGACCCACAGCCGAGAGCTTTGCCAATAGACTAAAGGGGCTTGTTGACGCGGCCGAAGATTTTGCTTTTAAAGGAAAGCTCTTGGCTTGAACACTTTGAGTAGTCCTAGGGCTAAGATTTTAGACTGAAATTATCTTATAGAAATTACCGTAACCCTAGACTGAATATCTTTCACTTTTAGTTATTACCGTATACTGAATATCTTTTCTTTTACTATTCTATTGTTATTTCTCCAATTTGTGATATGAGATTCACTAGTTTTTGGGTTTCCGTTTTTTTTTTGTTTTTTGCTGTAGAGTTTTTGCACTAGTCTTTACGGTAGGATCCACTTTCACGCATTTCTCTACATACCAAATAATACGAGCTTTTTTCTTTCATCTCCGTTATAGTATTTTTTTTCTGTACTCTTCGCAATAAAATGTTAAAAATTAAAATGTAAATCTTATACAAAAATGTCTCCTTTCATTTGGGTGAATATTTTTTTTTTGAGAAAACATTTGAACAATTCCTTTAGCAAAAGTGACAAAAAAAAGTGACAACTTACTGTATTATAGCTATCAAAAATAGCTGTCAATAATTGGGCTTTTTATTATTGTAAAAGATTGAAAAGGATTATGAGAGAAAGATCATAAAATAAAGTCATTTTAAAACATTCAAAATAGCTAAGAATCCAAGAAAATGGCTTTTCGATAACGATAGAATAACGATTAAAGTTTAAATTTTTTATTCTGAAATTTCAAAGCTTACTGTAGCTTTAGATCTAGATCTATAGATCGAAAGCTATAGATCCAAAGCTATAGATCCAAAGCTATAGATCCAAAGCTCTAGATCTAAAGCTCTAGATCCAAAGCTATAGATCCAAAGCTATAGATCCAAAGCTATAGATCTAAAGCTATAGATCGAAAGCTATAGATCCAAAGCTATAGATCCAAAGCTATAAATCCAAAGCTATAGATCCAAAGCTATAGATCCAAAGCTATAGATCCAAAGCTATAGATCCAAAGCTATAGATCTATAGATCTATAGATTGTTTTCTATAGATCTTTATCTATTATAAAATGTAAAGAAATCATTATTTAGAACTCCTAGATATTATGTAATGGTTGTTCATGAAGATGAAACAACACAAGCGTTTCGAAATGTCATTCAAACTGTTGTTGTGAGTTTAATGGGAAATTTTCGAAAAGATGGATACATTCAAAATTCTGATTACGATAAACTCAAACTTTAGAATCGATCGCTATCAGGCGCGATTTTACCGCCAAGTACCGCTCTCCTCTCGGCCGCTACTCAACAATTGTTGGCAAGAATTCCGCTAACATTGGAAAATCTAAAGGTGAGAGAGGATTCAAATTTAGTTCTAGAATTTTAAAGCTTACTGTAGCTTCCAGGCAGCTTTCCGATGTCTTACTTTACTATACGATTTGGATTCACAAAGAGGAACACAAGTTTTCTCTTCTTTCATCAAATGCTATGCGAGCTCTCCACCACTCGAAAGAGCTATTATCGTTGAAGGGGTGAGTCTTTGAAAGTAAGAATTGTGAATAAATTGAGCACTGGACAGGATAGTAAGAGTTTTACATACAATACTTAACTTCTATTAGGTTGACAAGAAAATTGGGTATTATATTTCAACTATCGAAGACACAAGCAATGAGTTGCATTCGGGGAAAAAGCAAAACCTTAGCCGAAGCCAGAACTCGATCTGAAGAAGCTAATGAATCAGAAAATTTTACTGGGGATTACTGCCTGAAAGTACGACACTTACAGCCAGAATTTTTGGGAGAAAGAAATCATCGCTTTGCCCGATAAATGGCGATTAGCTTAAATCAATAAATGCTTAGCTTTTAAGAAAAAATTGTCCTAAATTTTTCTACAAACTTTCTTGTCAACCTAATACGATTCACGGCTGGTCCTACAGGCCGTAAGCTGTGGCTAAACTGATCGTCCCTGGCTTAGTAGGTCAGGCCAAAGCTCTTGTGCATATAAAATGATCCTGGTCTGGTTTAAGCTTGTCTGACCAGCCTTTTCTGTTCCAAGCAAATTTTGAAACGAATATGAATGGACCAATGGAGATTTTCCTCACAACTCTAGTGGAATATTAAGTTGTCCCATAAAAACCCAGAGATTTTGAATGTCATTTATTTTCAAACCATAGAAACAACGAAGAATCAAATGATATATTTTCCAGATGAATCTATAACTTTTCTCTAACGCTTGGGTAGCATGCCAATCCCAAGAATTCGTTCGTAAAACCCAAGCGAGTGCGAGCGAAAATAGTCGTTGAATCCGTCCCTCGAGTTCGCTCTCATCTTTGTACTTTTACAACGTGAGAAATCGTTGCGACAAGAACAAGGGATAGTCTGAAGGGAAAATGTCTAGAGAATGTAGTGGATGAGAAGAATATTCCAGTGTAGGTTGTTCTTCACAAAATCAATCCGATCTTTCTGCTTTATGGCAGCTTGCGCCATCCTGAAGAACGAAAACGGGAACTTTTCATTTGTTTCCATAGAGCAATCTCCCGAATTTTGTTCCACTTTTGCATATGATGTAGATAAAATCGGTGTTAAAATTTTGCCTCGGTTTGAGAAATTCCCGGAAGGGACGCCTGTCGAACATCAACACACAACAATCGCTTCTTTCTGTGGATGTTCCGTTTTGGCACCGTTTTCCCTACTTAGCATTTCTTCAACCACTGCCGTTGTAACACTGACCACCATAGAAAATCCACGCCTGATCGTGAGTGATGATGTTCGAAAGAGGAAGCCGACCATGCCGTTATTCACTTCACCATTGGTGGCATGTCCGCTTTCTTTTGGCTTGGATTGTTTTCGATATTTCGTATGGAATTTGACGTCGTTTTCTACAATTTCTTTTCCACTTTTTCACAGCCATCGCCACACAGCCATCCGTCCACAGTAACTTCCAGCCAATTTCCCGGTTGAAACATCGGGGTTTCGCAGGAATCGGTGCCTCAGAATCGATCGAATCCACTTTCCGGGGTCGACCGCTTCCCCTCTTCCATTTGATCCTCGTGTGGCCCGTCTCGAATTTATGAAACCATTCCTGTGCAGTGCTCGTTCCAACGATTCTCTTGCCATAAAATTGATTGATTTCTCGTGCTGCTTTGGTCGCTGAAATCCCTCTTGAAAATCGTTGGAGCAGTAGGGCGTGGATTTATTCTCAATTTAGCTTCATTCGATCGACTGCAACTTTCTTCTCGTGTCCAGCCCTAAAAAATTAATGTTAGCGCAAGAAAGAAGAAAGTTTTGAGGATGGAAAAAAAAAAGAAGAACAAAATGTTTTGAGCGAGCACTGAGCAAAACAAAATCTCTAGGTTTTTTTGGGACAATTTAATACATCCTGACCACTCGTTTACAGAATATTGAAATCTAATAGATCAAGTTAAGACAATAATCTTAACATTTTAGATCCGTACCTCCAGCCTTCCACTCTACTTGATCTATCTGTGGTTGTCAATCGCGGAAAAGGAGTCCCTCAATTTGGGCACTCCATCCCCGCCGCGTTCCCTCATCATGGCCATCCTCTATGGCGGTGATTTCATTAAACAAAAGTGTAAGCATTAAATCTAATTTTCTAGCTTTAATCTAGCTATTTAAATAAACTTTTATAGCACTCACACCGATTATCCTTGGAATGGGCAAAAATACGCACTACAATTTGGGAATCGCTTCAACTGGCGAGGTGACAAAGCCGAGATTGGTCCCTGTCGCTGCTGAGGTTCGTAGCTTTTTCGTTTGATAAGTTAAAGGGTTGTTAAGCTTTTTTAAATTTACTGGGTTTTGCTTGGAATTTACTTTAATTTTGTGACCAAAAACCCCATAACCGGAGATCATCCCCATCTTCTATCTTCTATCTAAACAATTAGACCAGAAAACATTAGTTGACTGCAATAAGGATAACTATTTGACTATATTGTGGACTATATTGTGGACTATATTGTAGACTATATTGTAGACTATATTGTAGACTAGATTGTAGACTAGATTGTAGACTAGATTGTAGACTAGATTGTAGACTAGATTGTAGACTAGATTGTAGACTAGATTGTAGACTAGATTGTAGACTAGATTGTAGACTAGATTGTAGACTAGATTGTAGACTAGATTGTAGACTAGATTGTAGACTAGATTGTAGACTTAACGGTACAAATACCGATTCCATTCAAGTTTAAGCTTACAGTACCAGTACCGATTTGTTAAGATCGATAATTGTCAATGAACCAAGTCTGCTCATCCCTCTTACTTATTAATGTCTAGAATGTTCTTATGTTTACGCTATGTAAATAGCTTACAGTACTTACCAAAATCTTAACTATCAAGTTGAACTTTAGATCATTAAAGCCTCCCTTTCCACATCACATTCCCTTCTCTTGACATCTGATGGAAGAGTCTATGCGATGGGACGTTGTGAGGGATATCGAACTGGTTTACCGAGAAATGATGTTGCCGCAAGTCCACAACTTGTACCACTTCCAAAAGTATGATTTAAAAAGTGGATCCTGGAAAAAGCTTGGACACTATCCGATTATCTCCGTCACATTTCAGAGGGCCTAGATTGACCAAAATCGTTCTGATTCAATCACAACGAGATTTTGACAAGAGCGCACTCAAAAATCCCACTCGACTCTCAACTTTTGATAGTCATATAAAAAAAGTTGAAAGCTTGAATCGATTAGATAATGTGCACCGTTCTAGGAAAAATTCTTAAGATTTATCTCCAGAAAAATCAGAACGATTGACTCAATTTTGGCCAATCTAGGCTCTCTGAAGTCTGGCACTATAATTATGAACCTTGTGTCTTGTGGATTGAACTGTAGATATCATATTTGATGGATCAAGTAAAGTTGATAAGTTTAAACTTGAAACTGTAAAAGTTAAGATGCATACCGTTAACCTGAAAGCAACAGATCAAGTTTTATAATCAAAAAAAAAAAGAGTACTGTTGTTTCTAGGGCACTGTTGTTGTCGATGTTGCGGCCGGTGAGGGATATTCGCTGTTTTTAACTCGAAAATCGGTGAGTCTTCATGAATTTTAGTTACGTATTATGAAGAATCTAAAAGTTAAATACAAAATTCAATTGCTAGTCCGATTTTTTGCCGACAAGACTCCTATCCGGTCGGCTACGACGGCTAGAGAGTCAGAGTTTTGTGCTGAGCTTGGCTTGGCTTGACTTAGCCTAAAAATTAAAAGAAATTGGCTTAACTTTACATCCAAAAATTCTGAAACCCTCAAGTCCTTCAACTTGTAAAAAAAAAAACAATCACAAAAAACAGCTATACGGTTGTGGCTTAAATGTGGCCGCTCGTCTGGGACTTGGCAAAGACGCGGGACCATTTCAACTCCAAAAAATTCCACTTCCACAATTGAGGGAATTGATTTTGGATGAGGTTTGGCTAAATTGGGGTAGTAAATCAAAGAAAGAATCAATTTCAGGTTGTGACAACAGAGAAATTCACGCTGATCACCACTTCGTCGGTTTCCGATTTTCTACTTGCTGGCACAAGCTTTGAAAAGAGAAATGTGACGAAGACGTTCGAGTTTCATAAAGGTTTCTTTTAAGCTTGGTTTTTCTGCTTAAAACAATACCAAAAAGCGATAGAGATTTGGGAGATTTTCTAGAAAGACTATAACAAAATGTAAGGCAAAACTCCTCCGTTTCTTGGGCATAGTGACGCCGAAGAAACGGAGGACGGCTCATTTTCCCTTAGATTGTTTTCTGTTTTCCTCAAATTATCCCCAACTTTTCCAATATATTTTTACAGTTAAAAGCCACAACGAAACAAAATTTACATTTTAAAAAAGGGCAAAAAAAAGCTGAAAATTTCGAATGATTTCAATTTTTGGGTTCTTTTTCGGCTGACTGATGGCCCTTTTCTGTCAATTTCTCTCTTTTCCCTGATCTCTCCCCTCCTCTCACTCACATCAAACCCTTTTTTCCCCAGCCACACACCGTGGGGGTATAGCTCAGGGGTAGAGCGCTCGCTTCGCATGCGAGAAGTCTGGGGTTCAATTCCCCATACCTCCAAATACCTTTTTGCTTTTGCTTTATTGATGGTTTAAACTTCAATGATAGCGTTCTACTAGCACTTTGAAAGTGTTTAGTCAATAGATAATGGAATTGGATAGCATTTAACTAGATATTTAACTAGCATTTAACTAGATATTTAACTAGCATTTAACTAGATATTTAACTAGCATTTAACTAGCATTTAACTAATTTGCTAACTAGACTAACTAGACTAAAGATTTAACGTTTTCAAGTGATTAGAAGAATTCTCTGTTTAGCTTTCCAAGTTTTAGACTACGACCCAGAATGGGATGACATTTTCGTGCCTTGCAGCACACAACTCGAGGTGTCTGCGCGAATCTCATCGAAGCCACACTGTGGAATTGTCACCGGACAAGATGTGAATCTGAAGCAAGCGAATGAGAGCTATACGGTAAATTTCAATGTCACTATTTTTCTTCTTCACACAGCTTGATTAAATTGTTTTCCTAAAAGGTGTACTTGTTGCAAAAATGACCGTAATCTGTTGTCTAAAAGGTTCAATTGAGCAAAAAGTTACCGTAAGATCTAGCGAAGATCAATGGGGTAGGCTAATTTCCGCCATTTTATTTGTGCAACTAGGTCTTTTGCGCAACTTGCCATAACTTTTTTCTAAGTCGGCCAATCTTTATGATTTTGGTTTCATTTTGTTGCACTTATTGAGATCTACAAAATGAAACCAAAATCATAAAGATTGGCCGACCTAGGGCAAAGTTATGGCGAGTTGCGCAAATGATCCAGTTGCACAAAAAATTTGGCGCAAAGTAGCCGTAGTAGTAGTTCTTATAGATCTTGAAGAAAAGAATAGCCTCTCCAGTTACTCACCTCAGTGCTCCAGCTCAGTGATATTATCCTTGTTGAGATCTACAAAATGAAACCAAAATCATAAAGGTTGGCTTACTTAGAAGAAAGTTATGGCGAGTTGCGCAAACGATCCAATTGCGCAAATGACCCTGTTGCACAAAAAATTTGGCGCAAAGTAGCCTACCCCAAGATCAACTTTCTCCATAACAGAAAGGCTAAATAATACGCCAGCTACCGTAATCCAAAGTTTAAAAATTAATCAGAATACGGTAGATTTTCTAAGTGCACTTTTTAAAAAAACATTTTATTTAAAAATATCTTCAGGTGAGATTCGTTTTGTTCAACAACGCTTTGCGCTATCGTTTTGCGCATTCGAACTTTATTGGTGAGGTCATCTACGCAATCGATGGCATTTTATTTGGATTCGGTAAATGACTAGACAATATTACAATACTTTACTACTAGCTTACGAGCTTTTAGTAACTATCACTACAATAGTTTGAGTTGTCTAGGGGTTAAAATACAAGTTAATGACAATTGCGGGCAGACATAAAGCTTACATAGCTCAAAGAAATACACAAAACTATGCACGAATGAAGAAAGACTTTTGCAAAAGATGATTCTTTTATAAAAAAACACGTTTACAATAAATTTATTCGAATGCTAAAGTTATTAAAGACTAAGAAATTACCAATATATGCAAAAGAATAAAAAAAAAGGAAATTTACAAACCAGTAAATTAAAAATCAGAAAGGAAACTTCAAAAAAACGCAACTGATCTTTTGCGAAAAACTTTTACGATAAAGAAAAACGTTTAGAAAATCTAGATCAAATAGTGAGGAAATAGAATTGTACAGTATGTACACAGTATGTACAGTATGTACACAGTATGTACAGTATGTACACAGTATGTACGGTATGTACACAGTATGTACAGTATGTACACAGTATGTACAGTATGTACAGTATGTACACAGTATGTACAGTATGTACACAGTATGTACAGTATGTACACAGTATGTACAGTATGTACACAGTATGTACGGTATGTACACAGTATGTACAGTATGTACACAGTATGTACAGTATGTACACAGTATGTACAGTATGTACACAGTATGTACAGTATGTACACAGTATGTACAGTATGTACACAGTATGTACAGTATGTACACAGTATGTACGGTATGTACACAGTATGTACGGTATGTACACAGTATGTACAGTATGTACACAGTATGTACAGTATGTACACAGTATGTACGGTATGTACACAGTATGTACGGTATGTACACAGTATGTACGGTATGTACACAGTATGTACAGTATGTACACAGTATGTACAGTATGTACACAGTATGTACAGTATGTACACAGTATGTACAGTATGTACACAGTATGTACAGTATGTACACAGTATGTACAGTATGTACAGTATGTACAGTATGTACAGTATGTACAGTATGTACAGTATGTACAGTATGTACAGTATGTACAGTATGTACAGTATGTACACAGTATTAAATAGAATAGAATTGTACAGTAATCAATACAGTCTTAAATCTTTTTCTTTAGATGTTGCTGAGTTCTCGGTGGATTCAAAAGGAGGCGTCTACTTGAGAGCCGCTCTTGACACGGGAATTACGAGAAGGGTATTGAGATTGAAATTTGAGAAAAATTAAGCCAATTTTTCATTATCCTCCTTCAGTACGAGTAAAGTATTGTAGTGTACTTAGAGTTTACTGTTAACTATTCGGTTGGTGAATTGAAAGCTGCGGGACTTTGAACTAAAATTCATTCAACATAAAACCATAAATTCATTCCCAAAATTTTCCATTATTATTGACGGCTTCTGCCCATTTTACAGACAATTTGCGGATTCCTCTTTCGTAGTAGGATTCTGGTTTGTGTGTGAGACAAGTGTAAGAATCAAAAATGGAGGGCTGAAGATCTGGAGATGTCCCAGTTTGAGCACTTTCTTCAAAAGTAACCCATTTTGGTGTGAATAGAAAGGTTGTAGAAAATCGAAAATGAGGCTTATAGCCAAATTTCCAAAAAGATACACTTAGTAGTTTCGCTTAAAATGCAAGTTTTAAGCAAAAATTCGTAAATTTGGCATTTCTTGAAAACGAGTTTTTGAATCGTTCTGAAAATTTGGATATAAGCTTGATTTTTGATTCTCTACAACTTTTCCATTGACACCAAAATGGGTTTCTTTTGAAGAAACTCCTCAAACTGTCACATATGACAATAGCCCGCAGTTTTCAATTCACCAATCCAATAATTTCATTTACGGTACATTTACAGTACTTATGAACAGTACTTTTCCAGGTTTACTCTGTTTACCGAGGTCGAGTAGCGATTTGGCCAAAAGAGGATTCGACATTTGAAACTGCGAGAAGCAACCGAAAAAAAGAAATCAACATGAGCGGATTGGCTATCGTTTTCCTTTTACAAGTAATTTATCGATAATTCGTTCGCCTTTTCGCACTGATTTCTTAGTTTTGTAGAAGAATACAGATAAATTCAAGGCCGCCAATCAATTCCCTGTCCCCGAAAACCCCTGGGTACCAATTTAAAGCAAAAAATTTTTCTATTCTATCATCAAAAAAGCAAAAGAGAAATCCCTGTAGATGATTGGCAAGGTGTTCTTTGTGCGGCGGGGTAATCGCTCGCTTTCTGGCACAGCTTCCCGATAGATAGGTGTTCTCCTTTGGCATCCTCTAATGTGGAGGGAACGGTGAGCGATTGAGCCAATCCCGTCGCCTTGGGGGCCACGACGCCAAATTCCCCGCGAACAATTCAGCCGCAAATCCGGCCGCATCCTCGCTACAATCCTGAATTTTTCTGGAAGCTGAATGGATGCCGAAGCTATTGCCCCAAATTTGTCTCTATTTTTTTCACATATTTAAGGGAATTTTGTTAAAGAAAGTGTTAAAAAATAGTGTTTACTTGAGTGTCTTGTATATTGATTTTCTTAGGATTGAGTGCCCCGATCAGATTCTTTTTTTATATCATTAAAAACATTTTACACTCCAGTAACAAGATCATTCATTTTTGATAGACACTATAGCTTTTTAAATCTCGGAAAATGATTTTTTTTTTTAGCCGATCGCGAACACTTCATATGCTACCTCATTGAGCGTTTCACCGGACGGGGAGAATGCGATTTTCGTGATCGGAGAAAAGGAGGAGCAAAATGAGGGAAAATTGAGGAATTGGGCTGGACAGCGCTTGATTGCTGAACCGATCAAAGAAGTGCCGTTTGATGCAAAGGTGAGACTGAATTTTTGACTTGAAAACTAGGCGGAAGGAAACTATCTAGGCTTGGATTGCGTGTAGCTACTGTAGCCAAGCTACTGTAGCTACTGTAGCCAAGCTACTGTAGCTACTGTAGCCAAGCTACTATAGCCAAGCTACTGTAGTCACTAGGTTACTATAGTCACGAAATTTTTTCAAATTTTTTCAAATTTTTACTAAACTATTTTTTCTAAGCACTCGTAATTTCTAAGAATGCATGTTTGGTATCAAAAAAATAGCCGTGAATCTCAGCTTTCATTTGATACCTATGCGCGCCTTGTTGCATAAACGAGTGGCGAGAAAAACTCGTTCAAAGTTAGACTACGGTGTCATTATCATTAGCCATTGTAACCATTTCTAGATCTGTCTCGGTGGTCGCTCTTGGCCCGTTATGTCATCAGTTTTAGCCCATCGTGTCCCTGAATCGTATCGTTTTCTGAAAGGAAAAGTGATGCACATGGAAGAGGTTGAAATAATTGAAATAATTGAAAATTTGAGAAATTTAAACTTCAAGGCTTTTCACGGGATTCCAAACTCGGCAAAACGAGAAGACTGGCGCTTGGAAGTGAGTCAAATGGTGGCTAGCTATGTAAAAGAAGGAGTAGCTATTTGGAACGCTGAAGGTATAAAGAAATTGAATATAAATTGACTATACATTGAATATCTTTTGAAATAAATAACACCTTAAGATCTGATAAACTTATTAGTTTTAGTATGGGAACCCGAGTCTCCAGCACTTGATTTCGTGAAGAAAGCGCTCGCCGTGCTTGGACTGAAAGCCGTTGGACCAAGGCCAAGCCAAGGGAAAACGATGAGAGCACTTGTGCCAATGTAAATTTAAATATAATCTTCTGATAATATGATATTTTTAGAGTAAAAGGCTCAGCTCAATCAACAGCTCAATCAAATTGTGTTCTTCAATGCGTTGATGAGGATGGAAGGGCTGTAATAGAAACGAATAGGTTCGTAAAGAAGAAATTCGAGTTTATACGAGAATCAGGAATAGATTTATAAGTGATCTTTCATTTAAATTGTTTAACATATAAGATTTCTATTCCAGACAACTCCTCGAGCTTCATTCTTACTATTTTGTGCTTGCTGGTAAACACGAGGGTCGAGATTCGTTTGTTGTTCGAGAAAGTCAAGGAATCGTCGAGAAGATTCTCGAAGCGATGGCCAGTCCCGATAGTCTTGTTCAATGCACAAGAGATGAGGTATAAAAATGAATTCACACCAATTCTACTATATTATTCATACAAATAATTTACTGTAAAAATTCTAATAGAAGACCATGGTCTTCTAATTTTCAACCACCTAAAATCAGCCGATCAAAAAATTAGATAAAGGTCCCCGACCAATCAAAAAGATTAAAAATTTTTAAAAACTATTTTAAACAATAGCCCTTGGCATAAAATGTACGAAAAAAAATGTTTAAAAGTTAAATTTTTTTTTACCAAGACTCCAGTATCGTGAGTTTATGGAACCAAATTGGTACCTTATTGAAATCAAATTGATTCCTTATTTGAACCAAATCGGTACCTTATTGGAACCAAATTGATTCTTTATTTGAACCAAATTGATTCTTTATTTGAACCAAATCGGTACTTTATTTGAACCAAATTGATTCTTTATTTGAACCAAATCGGTACCTGATTGGAACCAAATCGGTACTTTATTGGAACCAAATTGATTCTTTATTTGAACCAAATCGGTACTTTATTTGAACCAAATTGATTCTTTATTTGAACCAAATCGGTACCTTATTAAAACCAAATCGTGAGCGTATGGAACCAAATCGGTACCTTATTCCTTTCCATAGCGAATCTTTCAAAGAAAAAACCCATGTGGTCGCCCACATGAAAGTCCTTTCAAAAAATTTAATTTTTCAAAAATCTTGTTTTCAATTTGAATGCTGAGGCTAAAATACTATATCTGGACCAAAATCTACCATTCTACCTAAAAAGAAATTTCAAAAAGTCCCAATTTCATGGGGGCCACAGGGGTGGTCTTCTATTAGAATTTTTACGGTAATACAAACAATACACAAGCACCCCTAAGCCCTGGATTTAGGAAATAAAAGAGCTAATAATCTAGAGGGATTGAACCCTTGACCTCTTGGCAAGTTTCGGAAAAATGATTTCGAACAACTCTTGTAGCTGGTAAAGAGCTTAAAGAGCTTAAACTTCGCTCAACACCTAGCTATTTCCAATACGGTTCCTATGTTGATCTAATACGGTCCAACACGGTTCCAATACGGTTCTTTTTTTGATCTAATACGGTTCCAATACGGTTCCTATTTTGATCCAATACGGTTCCTATTTTGATCCAATACGGTTCCAATACGGTTTCAATACGGTTCCTAAATCTCACCTTCTGTAAAAAGCTGTTGTGTTCACTTTTAAATACATAACCCATTTTAGCTATGTCGAATGTTAATCTTTTGCGATGCTTACGCAATGGATAGCTTAATCGATGACATCATTAGAGCTTTCTTCATCAATGGTAAAGAATTATGATTTCTCTTTTTTAACAAATTCAAATCTAGCCACCGCTAGCTGTTTATTAGATCTATCTGGTTTATATTCTTGGTCTTATTACGCTCAAAATTTCATCATTCGTGAGCTAATCGCTCGCCCGGATTTACTCTTTTTATATACAAAAAGTGAGGAAATCCATCAAGAAATGGCAAAAAGGTTAAATTCATTTCATTTATTCATTTAAAACATTTAAATATTAAAGATTTAAATAGATTTAGAAGATTGAAAATATATTTAATATTTGATCATTATCAATTAAAGATTTGATTATGATTAAATATAATTAAAGACATTATCTTTCAAATCCTTGAACTAAAACTTCGACTACTACAATGCTTGATTAATCTTTAATTCAAAAGAACACCTAAAAGATTTAAAGCTTAAATCAAGATCTGGATCAAGGCCTAGATCAAGGCTTAGATCAAGATCTAGATCAAAACCTAGATCAGGACCTAGATCAAGATCTGGATCAAGGCCTAGCTCAAGACCTAGATCAAGACGTAGATCAAGGCCTAGGTCAAGGCTTAGATCAAGACCTAGATCAAGGCCTAGATCAGGATCTAGATCAAGATCTGAATCAAGGCCTAAATCAAGTCCTAGATCAAGACCTAGATCAAGGCCTAAATCAAGCCCTAGATCAAGGCCTAGCTCAAGACCCAAAACTAGATATTGTAAAAGATTTTAAACTTATTAGTAACACCGTAATTAGATAGTAGTAATAGCAAAAGATCGGTCCAACTTCAGAACTGATAGTTGTTTTAGTCTCAAATTTGACCAATAGCTGTTTACTAGCTCTTACTTGCATTTACAGCTTGATCTAGCTTTGTAAATGAGTAATGTAAACTTCAACTTCATTCACTCATTCATGTAAATTTCATTTCCAGAGCCTGTGAAGCAATCGAAGCCGGCACTTGTCGCCGCTCCGGGGTGACCACGGAAAACGCGTTAATGATTGGGCAAGCTATTTGGCACTCGTATGCACATATCTACTCAGATAGGACACAGGTTAATTTAAACACAGAAATGATAGTTGTTTTGGTCCCAAATTTGACCAATATCTGTTTACTAGCTTTTACTCGCAATCTAAACTTATTATAAAACTGGTAACAATTTTACTTTCCATTTATTCTAAAAGGTTGAAAATTTGATTGAAAAAAAGATCAACTAGCTACAGTACTGGACAATGAAATATGATATTTGATATTTGAAAAACGATCGTCACTTTCGCGCGTCTGTAACTCCCTTGTCTTTGAGTTTAAACTATTAGTGTTATACATTTTCTGAAAGCTCTTTTCAAGGGCTACACAATGGTAATATTAATATTTAGAAATACGGTAAAGACAAGGGAGTTACAAACGCGCGAAAGTGACGATCGTTTTTCAAATATCATATTTCATTGTCCAGTAGTGTATTTAGAAAGGATTTTTGATTTTTCTATGATTTCTAATAGAGATTTGTTAAGTTTTGAAAGCTGTAACTCAAAACAAAAGCCAATTTTCAGGTAGACGAGGAGAGACTCCTCTTCACAGCTCTTTCTTTTGCCGCTATTCAACCGTACTTTACAAAACAAGCTGTTTTCGGGTATTCGCATGATCCGGAGCTACATCGTTTCACCTTTCCGCAATTGAAGGTCAGAAAATGAGGCTTTCAAAGTAACTGTTTTTAGACTCTTTACAACACGACCGCTCCAGACTACAAAGAGTTCCGGGTACAGAAAAGGTTTGTTTAACCGAAAAGCCCGCTTAACGGTACTTAACTCGCTGAGTGGTGGCGCGCCTAGCTGTCACCGTGGCGCAGTCGGGAGCACTCTCGTCGCCAGCCCACCCGATCCGGGTCCGTAGTGTCTATGGATTTTGCCCTTTTAATTTTTACTTTAAATGCCATAACACTATATTCTAAGGTTTTGTAAAGAAGTTTTAGCTTTATTAGTCAAAACACGGCTGAGAAAATGTCCTTACAGACAGAGAGACAAACAGACAGACAGGCAGACAGACAGACAGACAGACAGACAGACAAACAGACAGACAGGCAGACAGACAGACAGACAGACAGACAGACGGACATCTCTTTTATCTTTTATATATAGATCACTCATGTTAAAGCTAGAATAAGGCCTCTTGCTATATTTAGGATCTTGATATTTAAGATCTTGATATCTAGATATTTAGATTCTAGCTACAGTAGTCAAAGAAAGCCTTATCAAAGTCAAAACTGGAACAGCAGTCATCACTATAGAGCTATAGCTAAAAAGCTTATTGTCTAAAACGAATACTAATTCACATTTACTGTTGTAAGCTTTTAAAGTCTAAAGAACCAAAATCTATATCAAGAAAATCTCTAAAAACAATTTTTATATTTAAAGAGATAAAGAAAATAAATATATAAAGACAAAATCTAAAATAAAGACAATTTTTCAGTGACAATTCCGGCTTGACCGCGGTGGATCGTGAAGAGTTTGACTTGATGAACGCTTTGGTGGAAAGTTTAGGCGATTTCTCGTTTGAGGCTAGTTCTTGAGTTAAACGAATCTCACTAGGTCACTCATTTTTCCAATCTTTAGCTTGTTTGAATTTAAATTTGAGCTGTTTAGGCATAGGCAACTCAAATCTAGCCTGGAGCTCTAGCCTGGAGCACTAGCCTGGAGCTCTAGCCTGGAGCTCTAGCCTGGAGCTCTAGCCTGGAGCTCTAGCCTGGAGCTCTAGCCTGGAGCTCTAGCCTGGAGCTCTAGCCTGGAGCTCTAGCCTGGAGCTCTAGCCTGGAGTTAAACTAGGCTAGATTCATTTACATCGTTTATCTATGTTTTAAATGCTACAAAAATATCTATATTCATGTTTTACATATAAAATTTATGCTATTAACTTTTAATATTATTGTTCCGTAAAATATTTCTCAACTTTAGCCTGAAAAAATGATTGCATCGAAAAGGCGACGCCGCAGAACGGATACCGAACGACAAAAGGAAAACTTGGTACAAAAATTGTAGATTGAGACCTATATTTAGCTTATATTTTTAGAATATAGATTAATTTATGTAAATTTTAAGGATACAAGTATCTGTGAAGTGGCTGAAGAGCAGGTTGAGACGAAAAGAAACGAGCAGAAACGATCGCCAACTCCGGAGATCACATTTGGCTCAAAGCCTATGGTTTCTTTCATTTTGTATTTTAAGCTTTGATCTTTAAGTACACTTTGTGCTCTCTGAAACAAAAAAAAACAAAAAAACCTTTCTGGAATACTCAAAAATTTGAGGCCATTGTACAACCATCATTCCACACTGAAGAGAAACTCGAAGAATCTCCCTCATCTTCAAGATTCAATGAGAATCTCTTCCCAGCGCTAGGATTGGTCAGTGGTTCTCTTTAATGGTTCTCTTTAAAGTTTGAAAAATATTTCAGAACACTCCAAGCAGCTCAAAACATGGAAAAAGACTCCAAATGGGCAATGTCAAGTATCGACGTTTCCCGGAAAATGAAAAGGAAAAACCGAAAGAAAGTGTGGCTCCTTGGTGGGTTCAAAAACAGTAATCAATGAATTAATATCATACTCTATTTTCTGAAAAACGTTGATGGGCTTAAGCTTGAGCAAATCCTTATCAACGGATCAGCAGTTACTGTTTTGGGTTCGAAGAAATAGAACAAACAAATAGAACAAACAAATACAATACCAAGTTACTGACCAGGCTCAGGCTCAGCTCATTGCTCAGGCTCAGCTCATTGCTCAGGCTCAGCTCATTGCTCAGGCTCAGCTCGTTGCTCAGGCTCAGCTCGTTGCTCAGGCTCAGCTCATTGCCTAATTCTAGTTCGATATAGACTAAAACTAACCAATATAAAAATCTCACAAGTCTGACTGGCCCAGGCTCGCCTGGCCCAGGCTCGTCTGACTGGCCCAGGCCCTGGGCCTCTGTCTTACTCTAGCTTAATTCTACAAAAAATTTGAGTCTTATTCCAGAAGATTCTCTCCTGTTTTATGTCATTTTAAGAATTGAACACTAGATGGGAATCTTTGAAAACAAGAATTGTAAAGAACTGATACATAGATTCCACTTTGCAATAGAAAACGAAATGCTTTTAGGGCTCACCTCTCCTCTCCATCCACATCCATATCACAAAAACTCTCAGAGACTCCAAAAATCGAAGCAAAAGCTCAACCGATTGTTCGAACAAGGAATGAGTCAATGAATACGGTTTGTTGCGATTCTGATTCGAAAAATTTCTTTTAGATTTCTCTACATGATTCTTTGATGGCGATCATGCAAGAAGAGCAACAATTGCAGACTGAAAGATACAGGAGAACGCATCGACCACTCGCTTTTGTTGATGTGCGTCAAAAGTGATTGCAAAATTTGACAAACAGTGCAAGGACTTTTCTCAAAATACCGTATTCTCTCTAATAGTAGTGCGCACTACTATTTTCTTCAACCCCCTCCTGCACCGCAACACTATGAAAGAGTTTTATCATTTACCAAAGTAAGACAGATATAAGATTTGTTCTGCTTTGGCTCCTTTGTAAGACTCAAAGTAAGACTCAAAGTAAGACTTCTTTGGCTCCTTTGTAAGACTCAAAGTAAGACTCCTTTGGCTCCTTTTGACATACAGTTGTGGGCCAGCGAGTTGACAATTTGTGTCATGACAAACAACAAAAAGATGTTTTTGCACTTTGCACAACAATTTTAGATTTTTTGCTAACTTTTTTATGTGAAGAATAGTTAATAAATGAAGAAAAAAAAGCCTCACTTTTGCTTGCTTGAATAGCTTTAGAATGTCTAAACATAAAGTCAAAAAGGTTTCGATGAAAAAGAAGCACCAGAAATTCAAATTTTCGAGGGTGCACTACTAGTTTTTCAACCCCCTCTCGGACCGCAATACTATTAGAGAGTGGAATATTATAATAGTAGTGCACTCTCTAATAGTAGAGCTCTCTCTAATAGTAGTGCTCTCTTTAATAGTAGTGCACTCTCTAATAGTAGTACTATTAAAGAGTGCAATAATATTAGAGAGTGCAATGCTATTAGAGAGTGCACTACTATTAGAGAGTGCACTACTATTAAAGAGAGCACTACTATTAGAGAGTGCACTACTATTAGAGAGTGCACTACTATTAAAGAGAGCACTACTATTAGAGAGTCCACTACTATTAGAGAGTCCACTACTATTAAAGAGAATACGGTAATCAAATTTCTAATCTCTTTTAGATGGAAGAACGCGCAATCATTGAACTCAAGCAACTCTATTTGCAATCGTTTGGTGATGAAGTAGGGAAAATTACAAAAATTATATAATACTTGTACTAATTTCAAACCAATTTCCCTCATAACTTTGTCTAGATATAATCTTTTAAGTTTATTTTGATACTATTTGATGCAAGATTTGATTCTCAATCGAATCGTAGTCTAAACACTCTAAATCAAAAGGTTAATGCTAAGAAAAAGAGGAAAAATCTCAACTATGCTAGGAAAAAGAGATAGAGATAGCAAAAAGCAGAGATAGCACTAGCAAAAAGAGATAGAGAAATGTTTTCTAGCGCTGAATTGGCTTGGCTTTTTTCCAGACATCAAAAACTAGTGAAGAAGCAGGTTTAAATGCAAGTCTAGATGCATTCAAAAGCTGCAAGAATGTTGTAGCTTTTTATAGGGGATACTTTAGAGAATGTTAGAAGCTAGTAAATCTAAAGATATAAATAATCTAAAGATTGATTTTTTTAAAGATTTACAATCGAAAATTTTAGGTGATTATTGATGTGATTCGAGTCGACGCGTTAACCGCGGCACCTATTTGGAAACGACCCACATGAGATAAAACTCGAAAATTATCACACCTTCCCAAGTGCAGCCATAGCCGAGTGGCTAAGAGCCCGGTTTAATAGTCGGAGAGTCGTGGGTTCAAGTCCACGGGGTAGATTTTGAATTCTTTTTTCATCTATAGGTTTTTGTTATATTTAGAGCTTACCAGGGAACCTTCCCAAGTTCAAGATCAAAGATTTCCGAGCGCAGGCACGCTAACCACTAGGCTACGAGCTGACTTTCGGGATGGCGGAAGGAAAGCCTTTCCGCCGGCAAAAATCAGTGTGGCAGAAATTCGAGAAAAGCCTTCATTTTTTCGAAATTCAAATGGCTGTAACTTTGTGCGTTTTGCCGATTAGCGGTTTTTGAAAACAGTTTCTGAACGTACATTTTCAGGCCTTTCTTTTTGCCCCTACCTCATATTGTAACTCGCGCGTAAGTTGGGAAGGTTCCCTGGTTAGGGATTGTGCTTTTATATTGTTTATACTAAATTATACCTGTGAATTAGATACTTTCATTTAGAAATTCTTTATTAACTATCTTTCTTTATTAATTTGTGCCTTTTTCAAACGAAATTTCCTTACTAAACGATTCTTTTCGCAGAGATTGGCCTCCTTCTCTCACTTTTGTGCCTTTACCTCAACGAAAGGGGTAAATTTTCATTGCAATTTTTGTTGTTTATTTTAGAGATTTCTCTTGGAGTTAATAAATTAACTTAAAATTACTTTTAAATACTTTTAAAATTGAAACTATTCACTTAAAATGCAGATTTTTTTTATTTCATTATTTCATTCATTATTTTTATTTGACTGAAATAATCTTCTATTTTTGAAGTTCAAAACATTGTCTATCGTCATGAAAACCTACAAACTGACCACAAAAAGGATTACAGTAGTTTTATTTACTTTTCTTTTCTTGTTTAAAGAGGAAAATTTGTTTTCTTTTCTTGAGAAACCATAAAATGTTTAAAAATACTCTTTCCCATATGCAAATTTCGGCTTCTATTTTTTTTTTTTTTGGAGATTCTCGAAAGTTTATGAGTTTTAAATGTAGTTTTAGAAAGGTTTCTTTAAAGTTATTACGTAGTTCATTGTTTCAATAATGCCAATAAACCACCAAAAGCTCAAGGAAATCAGGAACATCATCAAAATGTCAATTCAAATGTGCCAAATCTGGTTTGGATCACTCAACTCATAAAGCAACTCAGTTTTATTTGGTGTAGATTCAGTGATTGAAGAATCGAATCAATCAACAGTAGGGTTTTGTCATTACAGAAAAATGATTTAAACTGATAGAATTGGACAAAGCTTTGACTAGAGAAAGTCATTCAAAGACAAACATTCAGAAAAGTTAAAAGTTAACTTAAACAAAGTTAAATTAAACAAAGTTAAATTCAAATAACTCCCGAGAGGACATTTGGCTTAGAACCTATGGTTGCTTTCATTCTTAAGCCTTTTCCTTTAAACTTTGTGCTCTTTGAAACAAAACCTTTCTGGAATAGTCAAAAATTTGAGGCCATTGTACAACCATCATTCCACACTGAAGAGAAACTCGAAGAATTCTCCCTCATCTTCAAGATTCAATGAGAATCTCTTCCCAGCGCTAGGATTGGTCAGCGAAATGGTTCTCCTTTCTTTTTCTCTTTATATTGAGAACTTTATAACTATTGGGTTGGGGAGAATGAGTCGGCGCCAAACTTTAAAGGGACTTTTTGCACACATAAAGCCTTCTTTAAACATACGTTTGGTTTCATCAAAAGGATCCACTATTTCTCTACAAAATGACTTTTGAGAGATTCCACAAAGCTTTTCTTTCGTGGAGTTTATGAACTTCCAAACGCAGCTGGTTAAAATGGCAAAGAGTCCGACTCATCATTTGAACAGTTTCTTTCACATAAACCTTCTTTGGTGTTTATATAAAAAAGATAGAGCACATTCAATTACTTAAGTTGCCAAATTTGCAGGAAGATCCCACCAATGGTTTTTTCTAGACCACAGTTTGTAGTTTTTGTGAAAAAATGGCTTTTTCTTGAGCGGAGGCGCTGTTTGAATTTTCTTTTAAATGTCATTTTGTAGAGAATTAGTTAACCATTCTACTCATATCAAACGCATATTATTTGACAAAGTCGAATAGAAGTTTTAGACATTTTTTTGATTTTCGGCGCCGAGTCATAGTCCCCAACCCAATATATTTAGCTTTTATTTTTAGAATATAGATAAATTTATGTAAATTTTAAGGATACAAGTATCTGTGAAGTGGCTGAAGAGCAGGTTGAGACGAAAAGAAACGAGCAAAAACGATCGCCAACTCGCCAACGATCGCCAACTCGCCAACTCGCCAACGATCGCCAACTCGCCAACTCGCCAACGATCGCCAACTCGCCAACGATCGCCAACTCGCCAACTCGCCAACGATCGCCAACTCGCCAACGATCGCCAACTCGCCAACTCGCCAACGATCGCCAACTCGCCAACGATCGCCAACTCGCCAACTCGCCAACGATCGCCAACTCGCCAACGATCGCCAACTCGCCAACGATCGCCAACTCGCCAACGATCGCCAACTCGCCAACGATCGCCAACTCGCCAACGATCGCCAACTCGCCAACGATCGCCAACTCGCCAACGATCGCCAACCAAGATCACATTTGGCTTAAAACCTATAGCTGCTTTCATTCTTAAGCCTTTTTCTTACTTTAAGTACACTTTGTGCTCTTTGAAACAAAACCTTTCTGGAATAAGGATTTTGCAGTGATTGAAGAATGAAATCAATAAAATAAAAGCAATAGAATGAAATCAATCAACAGTAGGGTTTTGTCATGACAGAAAAATGATTTAAATTGATATAAATGAACAAAGCTTTGACTAGAAAAAGTCATTTAAAGATAAACTTTCAGAAAAGTTAAAAGTTAAACTAAACAAAAAACTAAACAAAATTAAATTCAAATATTTAATCGATTTTTGACTATTTCTTTGTCTAGCTTTTTAATTTTTCTAACTTTTCATTAACAATTTAACATTTTTATAGACATTTTCAAAGTTTCTCTTTTTCCATAAAAGTTGATTAGCGATTAAGCGAATTTCGCGAATCTCTCGTGATTTTGGGTGCAAAGTGATTGCAAAATCACGTGTTTCTCTTCTTTCTCCAATCTTTGCAATATCTTTTTTGAAAAAAATCATCGATATGTCTGTTTTTTAGTAAAAAAAAAAATGATGATAAACCGTTTATTGAGTTAGAAAAAGTTAAAAAGGTCAAAATGCAAAGTTTCGTAAGAAATTTTTAACTATATAAAGTATATGAAGTATATGAAAGAAAAATTGAAAACGTGAAGAGATCGGGACTTTATTTTAGAGAGTTTTTAGCTTTATTTTACTTAAATACGTGTTCCTAAAACAAAAATTTTGTGTTAAACTTAAAGTTAACGTAGAAAAATAGCGGATAAACTTTTAAAATTGAAGAATTTTGTTTTTGTAAAGGTGGTAAGTTTTGAAGAAAATTGAATTCAATTCAATTCAATTGAATTACAGTTCAATTACAGTTCAATTATAGTTCAATTCAATTCAATTCAATTACAAACAGAGACCTGGGCCACGACACAGACCGCTGAACGAGCCCTGAGAACGACGCATCGAGCCCTTGAAAGGAACCTCCTCGGGTACAATAGGAAGACGCAGCTCGACCAAGACCTAAGCGCCGGATATGCGCCAGCTCTCGGGACTCAGAGATCCAGTGGAAGTGATTGAGAGAAAAAGACTCAGATGGGCCGGAAGAACAGACGACAGATGGACGTAGCCAGAAGAACAGACCACAGATGGACGTAGCCAGAAGAACAGACGACAGATGGACGATACGGATCACAGAGTGGCTACCACGAGACCAGAAGAGGCCCATCGAAAGACCAGCAACGAGGTGGAGCACAAGAGTGGCAGCGACGGTCAGAGAAAGGATGGCTAGAGTGCAACCACCACCAGCACCAGCAAGTCGAAGACTTCGAACCAGGAACAATCAAGCTAGGAAACACTGGATGACAATAGCAAGGGATAGAGAAATGTGGAAGCAGGTTGTGATCTGCACAAATAGGAACACCTGAGTGCGAAAACAAATCAAAAAAATTACAATTACAATTACAGATTTGGGTACTTTCCCGTTCCCCATTAGATCCATTAGACCCTGACAGCATCAATCCCATTATTCCCCCATACGCATCATTCCCATTAAAAACCCAAATCTAAAATTAGAATGTCAAACATTTGCATCTACCCGAATGATGTTTTTTTGTGACATCAAATGACAAACTTGTGGCAAAATCCTTCCACAATTGTTCTTCCGCATACAGGGGTACTTTCCCGTTCAACCCTGACAGCATCAATCCCGCTCAACCCTGACAGCATCAATCCCGTTCAACCCTGACAGCATCAATCCCGCTCAACCCTGACAGCATCAATCCCACTATTCCCCCACACGCATCATTCCCGTTAAAAACCCAAATCTAAAATTAGAATGTCAAAATTTGCATTTATCCGAATGATGTCTTTTTCCAAAAGAAGAAACAAATATTTTTCTATTCTCATTTTCTACCACTGTCGGCTTTAATGTTTTCTTTACCCACCACAGAGGACGAAACTATAAACTTTTTCCGAAAGGACTGCTGGCTTTACGTCGTGAATGCGCAAACGGTCGTAATGATTCTCGATACCAAGAAGAATCCAAGTGATGTGAAAAAGGGAGATGTCGAACCGAGGTTGGTATGTGGACGTTGTGGACTGTGGACGTTGAAAGGGAAAGTACCTAGAATTGTTTGAGAATTCACAAGAGATCGAAAGCTTTCATCATTACTAAAACTTTCATTTCAACAATTTCAATCAGTCCCTTTTAAATGATTTGGTGAAAAATCGGGGGTGAAATCGATTCTCCCCGATCTCTCTTTTTCCCCAAAATGCACCCATTCCACAAAAACTATAGTCTTTTTGTGTGAATATTTGTTTTCGTTTTCTGTTTTCTCTCTAAA